GTCTCCCGACTCCTGAGCCTAAAAAATAGTTCTTTATTATATATTTGACGTAACAATACCCATCCACTAAAGAAATATAGATGCTGGCTTGACTTCGTTTGCTTGTTGTGTCATAGATACACATTAATGTGTACTGATGCCGTAATAAAAATTTTAAGAAGCTGTCTGGCATTTTTTAGGTTTTAATAGCCTTCAGAATTTCATTAGAATATTTGTATCAAAAGAATGACTAGCGATCTTGAATAATATACTATTCAGGTCAGTATGGATGAATTGAGATCGATGACGATAATTTACATGCTTAACTATAAGACATCACATCGCCTACTGAGAAGGTATATCGTTTACATAGTAGTTTGAAGATAATATTTTTAAATTTCCCCGTAGAAATTCTTACGTAGTAGAAGTCTCTGACATGGATATAATAAGTAAGATTTATTCGATGAAAAACGAGTTAAAATTCGATTATTACAAATATATAACTCAAAGAGAGAAATACTTCTATAAAACGGGCCTCATTAACGGGTGAATGTTTCTTTTCTAGCTTTCATGCGATCAACGACTAAGAAATAATACAATGCAAATCGAAATCGCTTTTTAAATAATTACAAAGTTTTCTTCAAGAAAGGGGTCTACGAATCCGCAGGATGAGCGCTATCTATTTAGAGAGGTTAGGGGTGTGACAACTCAAGGTAAAAAATTCGTGTAAATCAAATTAGTTCTAAACTCTAGTTCACAATATATTTACTGGTTTTTGACTATCTCAAATAAAATAAGCTGTTATCAGAATTTTCAAAAAAAAGGCACTTGAACAAAAACGTATAAGAATTTAGTGAAGACAGCTAGGGTGTGAGGCCTTTATTATTTGAAAGAAGAGATCGGAAAATATTAATATTACAAGTGTCTTCTTTTGAATAATGAAGATCTCAAGCGTCGAATTGTGTTCAATAAATACTTATGAGTTTTGCCCAAGTACCTTTTTTGAAAATGTTGATACTAGGTTCCAACTCAGTTTATAAGAAATTACCTGTTTTTCAATTCAATTCAAATGAAATGCAAAAAGTTAGTTTTAGATGATTTCGATACGGTCTGTAAGATCTCTTCCTACATGATTTGGTCATTGAAACTTTACCAATTTCAAAAATAAGTAATAGTAAGTATTTGGACCTTGGACTAAGGCTCACTTTCTGAGTAGTTCCTCAGAGATGTACTATAACTATTTGAGTGCTAGAACAGCTTTTCTTTGCCTTTCCATCTGATGTTATTTGGTACGTTTGCAGCATATGATCATCTTAACCATCACACAGAAATCAGTTTTTGCAAAATACTCTAGATACGCGAAGCGTGATTATATGATTTTATGAGTCGGTCCTGTTAGAAAGCAATAATCTGTAGTTTTTTAGTTCTCCATTTACTCAGTTTCATTGCTCAGGAATACAACGACTTAATCATCATAATTATTCGTAATCGTATTTAACCTTGTACTTCTGATTTTATTTTGATCAAGAGATAGACTAATTTACTAGTTGACTTAGTTGAAAGCTGAGAGTTTTATTAGCATATTTTAGCCACGGTTTTGGTAATTATAGCTAAGTATTATTATTTCATTTTGTTTTATGTTCGATGCGATGTATGTTGTGAGACCGTTCATATTGGAGCAAACATTTCCTGTGATAGTAACTTCAAATGGTTCACTGATCTTAAGCATTCTTGCTTGGTTTTGTTTTACACGGAATTAATCTTGCTATTGAAATTGATAGCATATCTATCGAATTTAGCTTTCGAACTGACTACAGATCGGTTTCTTACGTCTTTATTCCTATATCAATCATACGATGTGATACTGCTAAATGCGCCGATGTGACAGAAAATACTTAACGAGTTTTCTTACTTCTACTTTTAGAAGACAATGCGCTGCAGTATGACTTTTTAATATTAACGAAGGATCAAAATATACAAAAGAGTTTTTGATGCGACGGTCAAATTCCTATTATGTGTTCCTCTGATTTGCCATTGATTCTTTCAAAAATGTTATTTCAAAAGATGATCCCGACTTATGATGCTCTGTGTGGAATCAGAGATGGGGAAAATATAATCTGTGCAAAATAATATGTTTAATGTAAAAACATACGTTCCTTGCATCTCCATTGGAAATGCACAAATCCGATATCTTTCGCTTCCGCAAATGCTTAAAAACTGTAAAATATGCAAACCTCTCCCTGTCGACTTTCTATCAATATTTAACACATTCACGGTGATTCGATTCCTTAAAACTTGCTTTGACAGATTCGTTTTCGTACACATTTACTTTCTAATAAACACACTTATTCATCTTTTCGATATATACTGTCAGTTCTTTTGCTTTTTTGTAGTGATAACATTGCATAGACAATCTTCTTCACGCTAAATACGATAAGCAGTCAAGTTTGTTTTTTCTCTCCTTTTCATACTACATACTAGGAGCAACATCAATAAAATGCAGTTTCGATTGTTTTTTCATTTTTCTGGCAGTAATACCATTGAATCTTGTCTGAAGTTTATAAACAAATGAAGTTTCACGATAAATTATATTATAGTGTGCACCACTGGAAATTATCGTTTTGCTTCTTCTCCTTTGTAATTATACATATGACATGTACGATATAGGCGTGTATTGTTCTCTCCTTTCATTCCAACAAATTCCTCACGTTCTCTCTTTTGATATTGTTCATGAATATTTCCTCTCGTATATGGTTATTTCCAACTTTTATGGATTGTAGCTAGTTGCATGCACGTATATATTTTCTGGCTGTTTGGAAAAAAATCAAAGAGATAAATACAATCACTCAGCAAGTCTGGCTTCAACGCAGAAAATAAAAATCTTCTGTTCTGATTGAGACAAACGTTTTAGGCTTGATTGTTTTAACGAGAAGCATCAGGCTATGCAATAAACCATTCAAAAAGTAACGAAGACAGAGCAGTTAACACATTGTTGCACTTGGCGCTTAAGAAAAAGGAAAAAACTGCTTTTCTCTGAACCTTCTTGTTAACACATACTAAGATCCACTGATCGGTCTCATCGCCTGAATGTATTACTCGTAATAATACAGATATCGGTAATATATCGACGAATCTGCTCAGAAATATTCGCAACCTATCAAATCCAGTTCCGGAATTTATTATTGCGGTTCCCGACATTTTACCCGCAGGATTAAAATGTAATAATACGTATCCGATAAGATTTGATTGAAGTATCGGTTTCTGCTATATATCTAGTGTCAGCAAATGGTGGGCTTTGCGCGAATTGAAAACGAATTCCTTCGATTATGCCAAATCTAGCGACTTTCCCGTGTAATACAATGAAACCTGATCTTATATGCTTTGTCCCACCTGATAACTTCTATGAGATACCATACAATCCGCTCCCTGATCTACCTGGATTCGACGAAATTTTTTCTGACTTATTCCCATCCGCATTCCGACCCATAGCGATAGCACAAAACTTCTGTCACATCTACTCAATCGTTTAACGATGTCATAAATTCTCGAGCCAATCCCACATCAGATCGCACATTTTCCGACAAGATCTATCTGTCCAATTCCACACCTTTGCTATTAGTATACAGCGCAAATCATATATATAAATACTTTGCAAAAGAATCTATGTACTATTGAAATTTACCGATTCTGAGAACAATGGCAATAAATATATTGTATCTACTATGCTATTAAGTTTGACGCTTTAAACGATCAAACAGGTCATACATGATTATATATTTCATCTCAGACATTGAAATACACCAAACCGTACCGTTTCCTTTCATCGACTGATAACAAAAACTTTAACAAGAAAGTAAATATCTGATATCTGATTAGCCGCTCAGTTTCATACATAGAGGTACCATAGTGATATACTTTGCCTTAGTCTACACTAGAAACTGGAAACTAATCACATAGAAAGTAAATATCTGATATCTGGTTATCTGACCAGTGTTAGGCATAGAGGTACCACAGTGATACACTTTGGTCTATCATGGATTGAGAACTAGAAACTTTCATTCGAAAGTTAAGAATTGGTATTCGATGTGCGATATAGTTTTAACTTCGGTAGAAACTGTAAGAGTATGAGATTTAAAAACTTTAACGGTTAGTTTTTCAAACTGGTAACAGTTTGAGATTTGCCACGCCCTCCCTGGGTTGATCATCAAGTTCGTAATTACCGTTACGAAATCGATCAAACCAATATTGTGCCGTGCGGATGGACAGGACACCAGGACCCATCGTACTGCATATATTATTCGCTGCTTCAGTTGCTTTGTGTCCCAATCGAAATTTATGAAGCAAAATGATTCGAATCTCTCTACGAGAGATATCGGTATTTTCGTCCGTCTGTATATTCATATCAATCGAAATTTTTTCGTTCGAACGTCATTCACGCTCCCTGTATATATCCTTAGTATCAAAGCTTCGAGAACTTTCTAGAAGATTCTATGACCATTTCCAAAAAAAAACGCAAGAACTTTCTTACCAACCTAATATATCAGTAGGAACTCGATTTAGTCCGATGTCAACTGTGTCAATTGGTACATTGATTGATGAATTATTTATTAAAACATAGAAAATGTCGAGCAATTATTCCAGTTATTTTGCGACTTGAGCACCATTAGCACGCCGTTATAGTTATGAAAAGAGAAATGATTTATTTTTCATACTAACAATCTTTCTAAGTTTACCAGTAGTGTCAAACTCGAAAACTGAATCCAGTTATTGAACTATTCCAACGTTGATAGACGCGACAACACTCTCGCCCTCAAATTGGCCACTGTCATCCATCCCTTGCACCCACATCCTCAAATACTGGACTAATTCCGAGAAATTAAACGAGCACAGAACTTTATTTATGAAATCTACGATAACAAACAATATGTAGTACACTCTTGAACTCTAACTAATGTTTCTTCATGTTCGGAATCCTTCCACTCCGATAATGAACGCTACATGTTCACAGTTGCCTTTTACATCTATTGATGAGCATTTGGACGACTTGCAGTTAACAGTTGTACGGGACCTACAGTATGTCGTCTTTGCCAAAATAATATTGCATTTCGACATTTAGTTGATAATTCTGGTAATGATATGGCACATGCAAATGGAGTGAAGAATATAACCCATTGAACAAAAAAGATCGCATCACTGTAATAGTCGCGTGCCACAGTTCGTGGTAGACCGCCGGAATAAGCGGCATACATAATCATCGGTGGTAATACTAAAACAGTATAAAGAAAAGATATCGGAAATAATTGGTATGCCATTTTCTTATAATTTTTCCAATTGATTCTTTGATGAGCACGGTATTTTTGACATAGGACCCGTACAAAAAGTGCTGCACTAAATATAACGATTGCAAATGCAGGTAAAATACAATGTGCAATACTATCATATAATGAAATCCGAGGATTACGAGTAACGCATGAATAGCGACCACATTCTTGAGCTGTGAGTTTCAATGGAATATCACAAGGAACAATGAAGAGCATAACAAAATAAAATGTTACCGGATATAAGATGCACATCATCAGAGGAATGTAATGAAAAAGTAGACGTTTCATTCTTGTTGCAAACCAATCTGAATGGAAAATCAAGATGTGACGTTCTATCGACGCCCAAGTCATCAAAATGTAGTTTGAGACGATGGTTATTGAATTCATAAACGCCCAAGAAGAACAGAAGACAGTTGTTGATACTGGAGTAACACCATTACGATAAAAATACATGTCCCACACAACACCACTAAGCTCTTCAATCAATCCAACGGATAGAAGAAGAATGATAACATGATTGTGTAGTGCTGTTCGAAGTGCTCTCTTTTTGAGAAAATAATAAAGAATAATGAAAGTCACAATCAGAGATGGAATAAGAGGCACTAGTTGAAGCCAGAAACGTGTAGATGAGGGTATTGCCATATGATATTTCTATGGATCGTGAAATATTAACAGAAAATGAAATCCAGGAACTTTTTATAAGATAATAATAACATCTCCCTTATATACATGCATTTTCTAATCTATAGATGTGACTATAAATACAATTTTATCTCAGGGTTAAACAACTTAGCGAGTATTTGTCAAACGCAAATGCTTTCATCAAAATTGAAATTTGTTCTATTTGTGAATTCAGGCTATTCATATAAAACTCGTTAATATTTTATGAAATTTTCCTTGATTAATGATGTACGCGAACGATGTTATACCTTGCAGTCTTCTCATGGCATGTGATAATGACATGACTAGATTTTGAAGGAACGGAAGACTCCAAAGTATTTGAAGCAATTTTCGCAACAAAATTGAATTAGAAATTTTTCTGCACAGAAAAATACCGTTTCGTTTTGACATGCATCATAACTCTACCCTAAACCATGTTGTATGAACCACATGAAAACCGTCGGTTAACCACCAGAAAGTCAGTTGTAGAAATGAAGAGTATACCGCCCAAGAATCACCACTTAACCGCCGGTTTTGGCGGCTTCTCGGGGTTAACTGACGACTTTTTCTTGCTCAAACGTTTTTAGCGCTGCTTGTTTATTAGTACATTTTCATTTACATCATGGTTTCATTGTATTTTATTCTTAGTTTAAATCGCAAAAAAAAGAGAATGCATATTCAGACACGGGTTTCACAAAGAAAACCGCTGAAACAACAGATACATACATTCAAACTATACACAACAAAAAGACATAATTAGTCGACTGTCCCAGTTGCTGCTATTTTAGGAACACTAATCGAAAAGAAAAAGAAGAGAAAAATCTCACCCTCAAATTCGAATAGCTATTCACTGGTTACACCACTTGCAGTATTCGACTTTGTCTTTCTTCTGATTTCGGCGTCTGTTCAACATAACTTCATGAATATCGGGCCATTCAATTTTCATTTTGAAAGCCGGAAGTGAACTCTCACAGCCTCAAAATAGAAAAAGATGTTTGCATTCACAAGCTATCATTGAAAAAATGTTATTTAGAACTAATAATATGCGTTTAAAGATTTCCATGGCATATATACCGCAACATCTGCGAAATGTATGAATAGAAAGAGTAATTTTACGACTTCTCATCGATTGGCATAGAGAAACACTACTTTTTGCATAGTGCTAACGAACGATTATAGACAAATAACATACCTTTGATAAATAGATAACTCGGATGTGCAAGTAGTTCGTTTTTCTTTGCCAAAAGATCAGGTTTGGTTAACTGTTCTTCGGAAAATAATTCGTCGATCAGTATCAACACGACCGAATTGTTTTTCGTCAGATCATCTACGGCAAGTAAAGCATCAAAAGCTTTGATACCACCTTCAGCTGAATATACCTAAGGTATGGAAAATATTTAGATAGAAGAAGTCAATGAAAATCATCTTGCCAAGCCATTAGGATAAGAATCCATCACCACCTGTTCGAGAACTTTTGGAAGAATTAATTTCTTCTTGGACATCAATATAAATCTAGAATAAAAAGAATTATTATAATCAATACCATCACTTTTCAATCCTTACTTTCTTTTTCACCGATGCATTCTTTAACCACTTCTGGTTTTCTAAAAGCAGCTTGTGGGTAGCTTCATGTCGTTGATGATACAACAATAATTGTTCGAACATTTGCCGATTGTACTAGTCACTAACTTCTCCTTGTTCCCTAAAGAATGAGTAAGTGCTTTATTTGGATTGAAAATATTACTTTCATTTGAATACAACTGCTAAGCCTGATAAGTTGTTGTCGATGAATGCGAACATAAAAACACATGAGACTTGAGTGAATAGATTCGCGAATTCCATAACTAATTTCTTGCGACGCGAACAGTAACGGATGCCTTCGTAAAGAAATAAAGAGAAATATCTTAGTAAATTCGATTTTCAATATCGAACTGAGTCATTTGTAGAAAAATTCCGTGCATAATTATCATACGACACAAGTGGATCAGTTGTACTCACGAAAGAAGATTGGCAACACCGGTTTGAGTGGATCGTAATCGGAATGTTCAGGATTCAAAGAAATAATAGTTGAAAGACATTCTGCCTGCCTTCGTCTCCCGCATTGTTGATTCCTTTGTGAAAGTACTTTGTCCGAATAAAAATTTTTAGAAGTCATATCTAAGATAAACAAACGAAAAATATTAATATTTTAGATTTCCACTTTGAAAGTATGCTTACGGAGTCGGTATATACGAAGAATTTGAGTGGAAGATTTAATAACTAGACAATCATTTAAGTTTGCACATCAAATTGCTTACTTACTATTTTCGAATCAATAATTCAGCATGAACATAATATTGGAACTATAAGAATAAGTACAGTCGAAGTTGTGTATGAGAAAATTCTTCAGTTAATCGACATAGTCAGCGACGAAAATGAACTGCTAGTCGATCGAGAAAACCGTTAGAATCTTATTCTCCAATCAGAAAATTTCCAGCGCCATCTATAAAAATTCATTTACCTTTTTTGTTTACTGATCTTTCCCAAATTTATTTTTGCGAATCTCTTCTCTGAATAAGACTCGTGGCGAAAACTAAGCTTTTTTGTGAAATCAAAATCTTATTTTTAATTTATGCAACAATCACAGTATACCACCAGTTATGAAGAGAACATTTATTACAGTCGGTAAACTGACGATTTCAACGCAAACACCGAAAACCGTCCGTAAACTGCCATGCACCGTCGGTAGGTATAAAAAAGTAGCGACATAGGAAGTAATGATAGCTGCTAATTGATTGTTCGTCATTTCAATCATATATACTGCAAAGCATGAAAATTTAAATGCAAAATGTATCTTAATAACATAAAGAAATACCCCATCATGAAGATTAATAACGTCCGGCGTGGTTGCCCCAATTCCCCAGGTTATTATGACACGGTCGGTTCCAGCCGGTTAGGTTCGTTTTCCGGCCATTTCCCGACCGTTTCCTGCAAACTTCGAGCTGGAATCGGCTTAGATTTCAACGGATCCAGTCGCCGGAGTGATCGACCTGGGTAGTACTATATATCTCTATAATAAAATATTCAGTATTTAATCTTTTATCAAATTTAAAATGTCGTGACACGAACTTTTGGTATGCTCTAAGTATAGTCCAAACGCGTATGGGTGTCATATCTCAACTCGATCTGACTAGTCTAAGCTTGTGTGACTGAGTTAAAGTTTCAAAGTGGTTTGGTTCATATATTTAATTGATGTGATGTGACTATAGAACTTGAGGATGAATTCGAGAAATGTTTAGCAGTATTGCTGTAGAAGCGAGCACGTATAAGAAGTTTTTTGTATGAAATGTTAGTTTGTGCAATTGTGCAGTGACTCATTTCATATGTGTACGGAACGAATAAAGTCTTAGTAAGTGTTTTGCTGAACTTAAAAGCACGATGTGGTGTTATAAATCGATTGAGGAAAGCTGTATAGAACTAAGTATAAGAGTTTGCAGCTATATAGGGCTTGGATAAAGTTCTGCGGAACTCTGAGACATATTAAGGCGCAATGGATAGTTTAAAATAGTCTATACCAAACTATCTGGAGTTCAGTAGAAATTCTGTGGTACTCTGAGGCAGATAAGGAAGTTAGAGATAGTTTGCATTTATGAGTACTGAACCTTGAGTAAGTTAAGAAAGCTATTGATATTTCTGAATATATCTAGGGAAACCTTGATGACCTGTAGTAAATCCTTGATGGTTTGATGGAACCTGTACGAAACCTTTTCAAAGTGTCCAGGACTACTGATAAATCAGCATAAATTTAACTAGACCTGCAGTTTTCGTACGAAAGCATCGATAGTTTAGTAATATGAATACGAAACCATGAGATGCAACTGCTGTCACTACTCATAGATACGTCGAGGTATTTCATGATTAACCTCATCTTCATGCCACTAATTAGCATCAGGACTAAGACGTAGATCGAGCGTTTTCAGCATGTTTGCGAAATTTAGTGAACGTTATACTCAAATTGTGGTCGTCATAGTTCAAAGAGTCAGTCGAGATTATAGTCTTTTATAAATGAGAAATTGCTTTGCAACGATTCAGATGACTGATGTTTTGGATTATGCTATGAATACATCGTTGTTGAGAAATTCAGACATTCTTTTATCAACGAAGAAAATATTATCATTTGCAGTGCATGGAATTTCTTCCGACTCTACGTGACAACTCTTATCGCATGAAAACTATCTCCTGTAGCTACCTACATCAGTTTGTAATACGCATAGATTTTCACATCTATTGATGAATTGTTAAAAATGCCTGCATTACCTGTTGGTTGGCTTACGAATGCTTCGTCTTTTGAAATTGAACAATATCTGAGGATGGTAAGATGAGAGCGAGACAAAGATCATCACTTTCAAGAGAATTATTTTCGAAAAATATGTAGTAGCATGCAAATGGTGTGTCAGTTTGTGTTATTCGGGGCATTCAATTATTGATTCGCCATCGTAGTGGATAGAAACTTCGATGTTCAAAGGGAATTTCAGCAGCTGCAGGTCGACGCAACTGTGTTAGTGGCCTCTGATTATTCGAACGTTCGACTCCCTCCACCAAAGCAGTTGAGGCCCGACTTTCCTCCGGTCGTCTGTTCTCTGTCGGATCTACTTGTGCGTTTTTCTCCGTGTGATCGACACGTTGTAGCTCTGAAGAAGGTATTGGTACAAAACCAATGGGATGTCGATCATTATCTTCTGAATAAATCAGATTTTCCAGTTTTTTGCCGGTTACTAACAGCTCAAGACCATTATCGACATCCATAAGAGTAACATGAAATCTGGACAGCATCTTAACACGATCGACAAGATCTTTCCATCGACTCAAATCAATTTCATCGAAAGCTTTCACTTTCTGACGTACCAAATCGAGTTGATCCAGAAGTAAACCTAATTCTTGCCTTGGTTTAGATAAACACTCGCCGACGGCATCGATCACTTCTTGTCGCATGAGATTGGCGGTTTTTTGGATATGTCTGATTTCTTCTTCTTCCCACGAATCAATGTCAGCCCAACATTCTGCATACTCTGAATGAATATGGTCTTCAGACAGTCGATTTGTAATTTGATCCGTATCCACCGTCAATAAGTGTAGTTGCCCATCTAGCATTTGTTGATGTTCATCAGTATGATGTTGACAAAACTTTGCCTGGCATCCAGAGCAAACGAATTTTGCATATTCACGACAGTGAACACAAGAGTTGGCGGGTGCAGTTGAGAACATCTCTTCTACGGACGTTATTTTTTCTGAGTGTCTATGTCGGGTATTTATTTCATGAATGTGAGTCAGAAGCTACTGTTCTGTAAGTATGTGTTTTTTTTCTTCAAGAGAAGCCAGCTCTATTAACAAATGACATATGAAAAGTTTGGCAAATTCCAAGACAAGTATGTTCGTAAAAAGAAAGAGAAAATGCCATTTGCATCTGAGTCAACATTAGTTTTCTTCGTCATAAGTGGCAAGCCTTCTTTTCTCCTCTTGCCACGTCAGACTTTTGAAGTGTATGTAACCTGTGCGTGTTCCCTTTTTTCATTAGTCCGTGTGTGAAATGAATAATTCTTCTTTATAAATTGAACGACACTTACACTAAATTCTTTGGCAAAGTCGATGTTGACTTTTGATCAAAATTATAGTGTTGCTCACCATGTATAAAATCAATCTTTCTGAACGAGAGTCCAAAAATTGACCCAGAAGGACTTGTGCACATTCTCTCATGAAATATCTACTCATAGCTGTCACGAGGATGATATAACTAGAGTGTCTCTCAAACGGTGCTATGATCCAAGTTTTTCACTTTCTGACACACTATACTAGTCTAGTAATCGACGCAGATGAACGACATTTTTAGAGTTTATGTCAAGACAAAAACAACTTCGATTTATTTCGCTTCTTGTCAACACATACAAAACAAAAGACGAGGCTAACTGAGACGCTCTGAACGATTGGACATGCGGTCGATAAGATCGTCGAGAGCTACACACCTATGAAGAAGCACAGTAGGAGAAAACACATGAATACCACAACTAGAGCCATATCTATGGTAATTATGGAAACAAAACTTACGTTTCATCGATGACTGATGCATCATAGTGATCGATGAATGCTTCCTAATCCATCTCTATTGGTCGACGACAAAACGGCAACACGAAGTAAATCGACTGCAATCAATATGACTATTTTCTTTTCGATCGCAAATCAATCTCGAACAAGACATATATCGCTTACCTTTCTGTCTTTCGTGTAAACAACATGAAGAAAAATATCCTTCTTTTGGATGATTTTCTGTATCTACATGCAATCCAAACAGACAAGCTGTAGCATAGACAATTGCAAAGTATATATGCATACCTGTCGATGTTTCTCGGGTGCATCGGTTTTTCTTCAAACTGATTCCATGTTATTAGATGACATTGTTCAATGCTATATGAAAATGATGCGAATCTATAACACGAAAAAAGCATAATTTCTTCTCGGATGTGTTATACGATGTTGTTCGTCACACATCAAATATCGTTCTTTATTTTTTTATCGAAGAAAAAGAAATAAATGTGACACAATAAATATGAAAATAACAACCGAAGCGACGATGAGAATGGCAACAGTTTTATATAGTTGTCGAATATGATTCTCCATAGTCTTCTGATCGAGGAAGTTATCAGTGCCCTGTTCCGAGAGAGCCACCCGTTGCCGTTCGACATAAGGAACTCGGCGTTTCAGTTGATTTATGACCACATTTATCATTTGCCGTCACTTGTGTATCCAGTTGTTTGACATGTCTGGATACGTCCAGCTGATACTTTACAATATTCTCTACAAGAGTTCGAATAAGGCAAAAGCGGCTCAACACATATGATACATTATAGTGATTGCTGGAAAATTGTATGCAAAGACAATTTACAACGAATTTCCAAGTATGGAAATTAGTTGAGATAGGATGACGTGTGATTTTTAGGAAATTGAAAATAAGTTCCCTGAAATGAGACAAGATTGACGACGAGCCGTACATGATAGATAAATCTATCAGTTCTCCTCATATATTATGTTTTAGAAAAGAACAGTATTTTATAAAGGTGTGACTTTTGATGAATGATGTATAATTACAAGTTCGTCAGATAATTTTGTCGATGAAGTGGATTGTTCTATATTCAATGGATTTGTAATTGGTATGAGTATCTGTGTGCTATTCGTCTGCTTTTCTGCTTTGGATAGAAGACAAAAGAGAAGTAATCCAAATACTCCTAATGTTATACCTAATGAAAGAATTGCGTAAGTTAAAGGAGCAAATGACCATTTGAAAAATAGAAGAAGAAGAATAAGAGCACAACAGCTTGAAATAATAATCATAGATACTATAATAGTTTTTATACTTTTACCAAGATAAACAATAATAGCTAAGATTGTTGTAAAGAAACCAATAAGAGCAATAGCTATACCGATCTGATCTAAAACACTTGCTACAGATTGATAACGAATAACCNAAAGAATTGCGTAAGTTAAAGGAGCAAATGACCATTTGAAAAATAGAAGAAGAAGAATAAGAGCACAACAGCTTGAAATAATAATCATAGATACTATAATAGTTTTTATACTTTTACCAAGATAAACAATAATAGCTAAGATTGTTGTAAAGAAACCAATAAGAGCAATAGCTATACCGATCTGATCTAAAACACTTGCTACAGATTGATAACGAATAACCCATGCATAACACCATGCTGTAGCATCCGATATATCAGCAGGAAATTCCGCCTTATTCATATATTGACAAACGAATGTTGCGTTATGTGCTATAGGAACAAAACTACTGCCTTCAAAAACAAAACAATCCATCGTATATTTAGGACAATTATCACCTGGTACAAGTCTAATATCTATCAAGAAACAACCTTGAAACATGAGTACGGCTGTTATGGATAATATCATTCCTCCGAGTAAACAACAAAATATACCAATATAAAAAGTGGATCGTTGTTTAAATTGATTTTCATTCGTGTCGAGAGAAAGGCTTTTGCTATTTTGATCATCATAAGTATCATGTGCTTTTTCCGGATTGATTCCAATAACTTTTTCAATAACAAACTCTCGACCTTTTCTTGAACTAAAATATGTAACAAAAACACCCAAAATCGTAATAAGAACAAGACCAAATGTAATTCCATAATTGGCGACTGTGTAACTCATATACGTCCATTCCATTTCAACAACTTGATCGTATCATTTGACAGTAAAATATGCTTTTATCACAATTATTTTCTTTTCTTTTCTTTTTTAATGAAGAGTGAACATTACTTTTCTCATCGATGTCAAACTTATCGTTTTTTTCTTTCGTCGTAAAAACACTTTTAAAACATTAGAATGAAACGGGAACTAATGATTACATATGATGACAAAAAGTACTTTAATTTGCATTCTTCGCACTTCTCTTCTTGAACTTTAATAAAATAAAAAATACAAAAGAAAAGAAGAAAAATGATGAGTTTTATATAAGATTTCATCCTTTATTGCCAGCTGAAACTGATTGAAGTTGGTCTCATACCAAAAATTCAGCATATGTAGTATTCTAATCCCATAAAAAATCTTCTGCTTTGAAAATAATATGTTGAAAGAATTACATCTTGATTGCGCAATTCTTGCCATATATACAAAAGAGAATTACTTCATTTTGATACATTCTATCACAACAAATACTTACTGGAAAAAACGACTTCACTAAAGAAAAATCAAGTAACAGCTGATAATGTAGTAAATAAATCAACACCTGTACTTGTAACTGGATCTTTTCCAGCTGGTATGTATATGCACAATTCAAGGCTGCCATCTGTTCAGGTATAGGAAAAAGGGTACAAAAGTTCTTAAATGGGGTGCATGTGAGGTACATCTTTGTTCCCAATGGGGTATGTCGAAAGGATACACAATTTTTTTCTAAGTAACATGTACTACCAACGCAAAATCAGTTTGGAAAACGGTTTTTGACCTAAAGGGATATTTTTAAACTTTTTAGGATATGAGGGTGGTAGGGAAAGCGGTCAAATTCAAATTCTATTTAATTTCGAAACGAGTGGTTCACAAACACCTTTTTCCTTTCAATAAATCCATAGTGATTCTTCGATATTTTGCAATAAATCTACAGGAATACTTTTAAGATGAAAACTATTATGAATTAGAAACAGGATTTATTATCGATCATTCGATCAAAATGACAAAAGAAAAGAAAAGAAAATGATATGAGTAACAATATCGTGTATTGATCTTAAATAAACCAATATAATTGACTCTTCGTATCTATCTACAAATAAAGATGTCGACTACAGCCAATAAATTTGTAGATTTTTACTAACGAGGGAACATATCCAAGTGTGAGTCTCAGTTTTAAATGGGATATATACCAGTTTGTAGGGTTAACCTGAAATTGATCGAAATGTTAAAATGTCGAAAGCAAAAATATCGAAAATCAAACCATCGAAAACAAAAATGAGAGTGCAGATAGATGTGTAAGATTGAGGGTGAGGGTGAAGAACAGTGCCTTTCTCAAACTAAATCATTCGCACCTTGTTCATCTTTCGATGTTTGTATAATTTGCGTATTCGATATTTTTTTATTTTCGATCTTTTTAGATTCGATATTTTTACTTTCGACATTATTCAGTAGAATCTAGATGATCGTATATTCTCTTGAAAATGTGAATGCTAATAAAAAAACGCACGCCAATGCTAAATTCACACCTCGCCCTCGCACCCACGCCCTTCACACACTTAAAAGGAAGACTGATAAAAAATATAAAACGGAAAAGCTTCTTAGAGGCGCACAATTGTCACATTGTCACTAACTATTGAATACCGTATTGATGATTTAACTTCTGTGTTTCCTTCCAAATCATTATCCGATGATTTATGAGCAGCTTCCATCAACATAATAATTTCGGATGCGTATTTAGACCGTTGTCGCGCAAAAGAACCATATTTCCAGAAGAGGTACGGCAAGGGTATACATAGTAAGGCGGCAAACGCAGGGACGGAAACTGCCCAGTGAATACCAATGTTGTGGAACATTTTAGTAGTGAAAAGAGCTATAAATATAAATGAGTAAATAGGGTGATAGCACTGGATAATAGAAAACTTACGAAAGGCAGCCCCGAACAATGAGCGAAGAATAGAATTGGCAGCTAAGGCACTGGCCGCATAAATCATATATGAATCTACTAAATAATTAATTATAGCTACAAACACTAATACTATTCCAAAACCAAAAGGTACACATGCCGAAGTCGAAATAATGAAATGCATCGACGGATAGTTGGTCCAGGCGAACCAGAACAAACTAATAGGCAGAGCTATGGCACCAACAATTGCTGGAGGAAGACGAGTTTCAGGTGGTACTCGGTGACTTACATTAGCTTGTGTTAGTTTGATATATCGCCGATTNAAATAATTAATTATAGCTACAAACACTAATACTATTCCAAAACCAAAAGGTACACATGCCGAAGTCGAAATAATGAAATGCATCGACGGATAGTTGGTCCAGGCGAACCAGAACAAACTAATAGGCAGAGCTATGGCACCAACAATTGCTGGAGGAAGACGAGTTTCAGGTGGTACTCGGTGACTTACATTAGCTTGTGTTAGTTTGATATATCGCCGATTATCCAAAATACAGTACAATACAGCTATAATAACACCGATTGCCATACCAAGAAATGAAAGACCTACACTACCAGATGTCCATCCCCTTTCTTCACCGTATACTATTGGAAAGGCGCTAACAAACATGTAGAGAATACCGTAAATTAAGGCCATGTACAAAGAGAGGAGAGAGACTATTGGCTCACGAACAAGAAATATCCAAGGCCGAGAGAGAGATATCTTTAGTAGACGACGAAAAATGACTTGATTCTTCACTTCAAATTTCGAGCGGTATACGAATCCTGTCATACGGGATAATTTCTCAGCTCGCAAACGAAGAAGAAAGGGTGCGTAGGTTTCCGAAAGGAACAAAATTCCTATCATTGCAAGTATACCAGTGAAAATAGCCATAAGTCCTTGTATCCATCTCCAATCAATCGCAGAACTCGCATAGCCACCTAGATTAACAATCGAACATCTTCTCAGTTGAATATCTACTATTATAAGTATTAAAATACTTACCGACAATAGGTCCAAGAATAGGACCCAAGAAAGGCATAGCCGCATAAAATGTTAAGGCCGTACCACGATGGTGAACAGAGAATAGATCAGCAATTGTTCCTCCTGCCTGTAAATGTATATTAGAGTTATTTTTCTAAAGAAATTACTGTATCATGCAAAACTGTTTGATTTCATTCCTGTTCATAGATAAAAGTAGTGTTTACAGTCTTAAGCTTGCTAAAATATCTGTCCCAATCGTTACAGAGAAGTTGAAAGAAAACTCAGAATAATGACAGACTTTAAATCAGTGTTTCTTCAACAGAAGTATCGAAGAAAATGATCATCTCCATTTAACACTATATAGTAAAAATAATGCACTGAAATCATTTTATTCGTCTGTTCAAACGAAAAGCGTAATGTTGTTTTTCTGTACTACTTAGAGGACTTTCGGATTATAAAAGTTTACTCTTTGCCATTTTCTACGGCCTACTAAGTGAAAATAGATTTGAGCGGATGGACACAGGACAGTGGAGAGAGAAACTCCATTCTCACACTTATATCATCAGGATTGTTTCCCATTTTCTCCAAAACGAAAAATAAGATAAATTAAATCCATTTCTATATTGATCATTTAACAATTGTGCTTGTTAAAAAGCGTTTTGATTTAAAAAAAAACTTTTTTCTCATAGCACCAGTGAAAAGTTAGAAAAAAATCACAATGTTTCCTGAGAAATGATGAAAGAAATTAAACAATGATTAATTATTGTTCAGTAGTGGAAAGCAGACAGTTTCTAATAAAGACTACAAAACTTTCTGGTACATTCTTCTCTCTGCAGCATATGAAGATCTTTGAAATATATATGGTTTCTTTTCAGAATGTACTAAGGACTGCATCTCACGCAAATAAGACAAATATATTGTTTTTATCGACGAATTATATGGTAAATATGATAAACAAAATACTTACGTTAGCAAGTGGTGAAGAACCAAAAGCACCAGCAAAGAAACGGAGAATGAGAATAGTCCAAATGTTACGTGAAGAAACCGTACTAGCATTGAAAACAGTCAGAGCCACATATGTGATAATAAAAATGATACGTCGACCGAACATTTCAGAAAGCGAGGCCCAAAGAAGTGGACCTAAAATGATTAAAAATGTCTAGAAATAAATAAAAATACAAACTCACCTAGAGCAAAACCGATAACAAAGAGCGAGATTCCAAGAGTTAGAACCTCTCGAGATGGTTGAAATTCTTTTGTGAGAGTATTGTATTCACTAATGAATATAGACGAACAAAACGTGACACCCATAGCAGTGATAGAAACGAAGGCAGTTAAGAAACACTTGTAAATTGTATTCCAAGTTTGAGGATTTTCAGGATCATCTGGCAGCCAGTCAACCACATACGGATTCGTTAAAGTTCCTTCTCCTTGATAAGATTGATTGTAAATTATATCAAAATCAGTGACATAAGGGGAGTATGGAGTTCGAAGTTGAGTGCATTTCGAATAACTTGTAGTAGCCGACTGATGTTCCTTGGAATGTTCGTTCGGAATCATAAATAGTGGAATCAATCAAACATAAGATCAAAAGATTGAGAATAGTCTGAAGAATACGATAGACAGAAAAAATAAACAGCAAAATTCGTGAAACAATGTGAAAGATATAATAATGTTTTAGTTGCGACCATATTTCGAAATTAGTTTGTTGGCCCTTGATAAAGCCCAGTATAGCTCAACAGTATCCTTAGAAGCCTGACAGAATTCGCTAAAGATAATTTGAACGAACTGTATTTCATTGAGAACTGGAAAGTTTTAAATTAAAGAAATGTATATCTAAGGGAAACTACCCATCGATCAAAACGGCGTTTTCAAGCTGGTAAATGTGGTTTCGACATGGATTATGTTTTGGCTACTTTTTTTCAGTCAATGAATAAGAAAAGACTTGAAGCATCGTGAAGTAAGAATTTTTTGATTATTTGTAATAATTCAAACGTTTCTCAGCAATAATATAACAATCTCAATTACCGAAAAAACAAAAGATTTTCTTCCTACAATATCAGTCATCAGCGTAAAATCACGTATTTGCATGAATAGTGGATGAAGCAACCTTTCATCGATTGTTACTTATGAAAATGTTAATAAGATTGAAGTTTAAGACATATTTTAATACGTTAGATCGGAAAGTTTTTACATTTCGATTTTTTTCAAGTATTTTATCCTGAGAAGATGTAATTAACCCGAATTCTCTTTGTTCTGTTCTATATATGCTGGTATGATGCCGATTATTTCTGAGAACAGTGCATCAGCTAGGACTTTATATACTACATCAACAAAAGATTGACGGCAAGCTAACACCATTTTAGTTAGCATCACGAAATTAAAAATTTTCTGAAAACCAATTCGCGTCAACAGAAACTAGTCCATTCGATTCAGAATTTAATTCTACGTTATAGAGTTTACTCGGAATTTGTGTGTATTTGGATGTGAGATGAAATTCCAGGAAATTCAAAAAACATTTTTCAAAAAACTTTTAACACTCGAAATGGGTATTCTAAACACAATACGCAAAACTTCCAGAGAGGGTGCGTCAAAGGTTGATGAGGGTTTCATTTCAGTCATTGATTTTCTTTCAAGAATAATTTATAATCATTTTTATTGCTATACCTATGAGTGTTTAATGAGACATAATAAATTTGCTCTACCTTATGTAATTTGGTAGTTTCCGAAATATCCGTATATTCCGTGTAGGCCGTACAGTGGTGGCAAAAAGTTTCGTGACACTTGTAAATCACCTCCTAAAATTTTATATTGAATTGAATTGGAACTCTATTCATATATCTAGTATAATTACTAGTAGATCTTTCATAATTTATTCAGAAATCAAGAACAGATCATTTCATCATTAAAAACAAATCGATAGAAAATACCTTCAGCGGCAAAAAGTTCCGTGACACTATCATTATTTAATCAAACTGAAGTGCGACATCTACCAATCGATAGAAAAAGACTATGCACCAATAAAAAAAAGACTCTGCGCCAATAATTAATTGGGAATTTTTCGTTGACAAAATAATATGACAGAGAAACATATCCGTGAATATCAACGGGCTCAATGCATTGCATTGAGAAGAGCTGGTATGTCATATCGTGCCATTGCTGAAGATGTTGGTGTTTCGCGGGCTTCAGTACAACGTTCTTTGGAACGATATGATGAAACAGGCGGTTTTCAAGATCGTTCTCGGTCCGGCAGACCGAAAAAACTCAATGATCGTAATATTCGTATGCTAAAACATTTGGTTCAAGATGATGCTAATCGAAGTTCATCAAGGGAATTAATGCTTAAATTGAACGAATCGTTAGGAAAATCAGTCTACAGAAGAACGGTTATAAATTATTTACAAAAATTCGGATATGAATATAAAGTTAAAATTGAAAAACCGTATCTCAGTAAACAACATCGAAATGCTCGATTACAATGGTGTTTAGAACACTCGAATTGGACTGTTGATGATTGGAAGAAGGTTCTATTCAGTGACGAGTCGACTTTTTATGTTGTTAAACGTAAAAGTGAAACAAAAATATGGCGTACAAAAGATGAAAAATGGTGAGAAGGTTGTATGGCTGTTGCTGCGACTGGTGGTGGAGGTCGTGCTGGGTTTTGGGGTGTTATCACATGGAAAGGAGCGGGTTCTTTTAGGATTTATACTGAAAATACGAATAGTGAAGTCTATTGCAACATCTTAGACAATTATTTAGTTCCAACTGTCCAAATGTACGGTTTCGAAAATGATTTTATGCTTCAACATGATAATGCAGGTTATCACACTTCCAATAAAACTCAAGAATAATTACAAGAATTAAATGTTAAAGTACTCCAATGGCCAGCGAAATCGCCGGATCTCAACCCCGTGGAACAATTGTGGTCGTTTATCGATAACAAATTGAAATCGAGACGAATGTCTTCGATTAAAGAATTAATCGATGGTCTATCTGCCGAATGGTTGAATATAACACCAGAGTTGTGTGAAAAAATTGTATTTTCAATGCCACAACGGATACAGAATTGTATTAAAGTACGTGGCAAATGCATAGATTATTGAATTATATGACTTCGAAGATCATTTTGTTTTGTTTTTATACATGAATAGCTTTTGTCACGGAACTTTTTGCCACCACTGTATAAGTTATATCGAAGGTCAAAGAATATTTTTCAATTTTCAAATCAGAAATTGGAAGATTCTCCGAGACTTCCTAAACGGCCTACACGGAAATGCAAAACTAAGGGTATGACACGTTGTTCATAGCTGATGCAAAATTCAATTATCCGGTAATAGCTAAACGCATCAAATCGTCGGCACGTAATTTCTCTGCACAGAATGGAATCTCCTACACGTAAAACAGTCTGTCTGACGCAGAATTGATTTCTGCATCGAATGGACTAGATTCTGTCGGCAGGAGTTCGTTTTCAGAAAGTTCTTAATGTCGTGATGCTAACTAAAATGGTACTAGCTTCACATAGATCCACAAAAGAAAGTTCACATCTTAGTTTTAGAACAGTCATCATATATCTATGTTTTTCAAAAAGTGATAGGATATTCTGAAAGTTCGTGAAATTTTCTACAATCATGTATAATTAGATTTCAGTTTCGATGAATTCATTACCGAAACAAATCAAGCACAACAGGGGCATCTCTATGTGTCGATTCCCACAACGTGATCCTGTCGTGCCTATCAGATTTGCCTTTTCAAACTTTTTATCACCATAGAATTAATTCTTAAGATAAGTAACGATGCAACAAATCCAAAGCTTTTGATTTGGGTTTAGTTTCCGATTTTTGTACGTGGTATTCAAGTTTGGGCTTAGTCTGTGGACTTAGGCATCAGATAAGTGGAATCTCTTCAGCTTACCGTAATAAGAAACATCATTAACATTGACTGATTCTTCAGTACAGTCACTTCTAGGACACACAAATGAATTACAAAGCGTCGCACCTCTGTTATGATCTTCTTAGCAAAAAAATTACATTGATTTACGGGGATAATTGCGTAAACTTGTAGGAATTATAGTTTCTACCGAGGGAAGTAAACTTTCCCACACTATTCACAGTTTCATTAGTGCTATTAAACCAAGTGTATTATTCCAATCCAAATATTCACTAAGATTTCTTGCGCCTCTCTAAGAAAAGTAGATGTATGTTCTAATAGAGCGTGAAATTCTCTATTAGAACATACAACTACTTTCTTCTTTTATTGATTTATTTTCTGAAAGAATTCAACGCCATGATCAGAACATGAAACGAAAAATATTGAATAACTGCGTTCTTTCTACCACTTGAATGCAAAATATCTTATTAATATACAGAATGATAGAGAATTTCAAGCGTGTTTAGAAAGTGTGACTACTTTTCAATACTTATACCAAAAGGAAGAATAATTGAGGAACAAGTTAAACAAGGCGGCCAAAAATCGCAAGTTGTTCGCTACTTGTCGATTCACGTTGCGGTCATTTCATTTAAGTTTCACAAAACTGGTAATGCTCATCGAGACTCACTCGCTTTACTCTCGGCTGAAGAGTAGAGAAATATATTTACTGACTATTTTAACTGGAAACTTTCGGTTCTGACTGAACGTTTTTAGATAAAACTTTATTGTGATCAATGGATGAATTATTTTATATGCCATTCTTCAATAGAGATCCTTTTCACTTATGACTCGTATTATTCCGAAACGTTTGTAACAGCAAGAGTTTTGATTTAATAATCTTATTTATTAAACTCACGAGAAGTTTTATAGACTAACCACTAAGCGTTCGTCGGCCTCTCTCCAGTACGCTCAATATATTTAATTACATTTTTTACTTAGAAAAACAACTTCACCTATTACTTATAACACTTAACTGAATCCATCCTTTTTCATAGGATCCTCTTTTGAGTCAAAATAAAGTCTTTCTCATCTTCGGCCACCAAGAGATAGGTCTTGTTTTGATCTCGTCCTTACATCAGGTCCTCCCCAATCACCCTTGAAGCTCAACACCATTTTCAAACGATATTCTATGAAGTTCTGGTCATTTTCGAAAAAAATGTTCTTCTGACCTTGGGCCCACTCTCTTGACTCTCATCCTCAACCCCTTCAAAGGGTATTTTCAGAAGTTTTGAGCATTTCGAAAAGAAAACGTTTTCTTAACCTTTGAACTTTGATCCTGGCACAAAGAAACAGACAAACATACAAGCTATCACTTTTATATGACTCTCCTCTCAGTCGAGGCAATAGATCAATAAAAGAAAAAAATTGAGTATAAGAAACGATAGGGAATTTCATCCTTTATCAGAATATATAGCTATTTTTCTCAATATATGGTTTCATAGGGTCGGAAACAATAACGAACGAACTTACGAAACAAATCCTGTCCACAGGAAATCGAAACACAAGGGTGTTTGTATTGCACTCAATTTTTTTCGGTGATGAATTAGTCAAAACGAAAATCTAATCATACATAGTTGTAGAGAATTACACCGGTTTTCAGAATATGCTATTACTTTTTGAAAAACAGGTGTATAATAAATATCCGAAAATAAGATGTGCAGTTTCTTTTTCTCACGAATGTATATATACTTCATTCATGCGCCACATTTTTCAATGCAAGTGAATCTCGCTATAATGCGTGACGAGAAGACGAAATTACAAAATTTAGAACTCAAAGTTTAATCAATCAAAATTATAAGTATATGAACATAAAATGTTTATAGAGTGACGGACTCTAATTCCATCGCATTTTTCTATTCCTTTTCGAAAAGTCGTAATATCTCGGCCATCCGACGTCCGTTTGACTTGATTTTTTGATTCCGGAATAGAGCAAACATTTCTCCATCAGTTGATGTGTTTTTCAGCGAAAAATACTAAAATACCACCGAGTAATCGTCGTTACAAAAAGACCTACTCCAAATTTTCATTTTTTCTGCACTGTTCCGAATTCCATCTTTCCAGCAAAAATACATAGGAGTACTTGAAAAAACGTAGTTTCACTATGAACACAACGATTTTTCTCATCTAATTTCACAGTCTGATTCGTCGTTTTGAGCTCTATCGATCTATGTGCATTTCTTCTCGATTATTTCCAATCTTTATCATCGTTTTTGCGGTTTAATCACAATTTTTGCGTGATGTTATTAAGTTGCATTACTCAATTCCATCATACCAGCAATGACGTGTTCTTTATTCTATCACTCATACAAAAGTACGTGGAAACTGGTTCTTGAATTTTTGTGTAGAAGCGTATAGGGTAAAAATGCCGAATGGCACTATCTACTGCAGATTTAGTAGAACTGTTAGACCGTGTTACTATTCGTCTGTTTTTTCGACTATTGAAAAGACGAACAAAGGATGGCCCTTTCTGCTCTCTGTCGGATGTCGAATTGTTCGTTCATATTACGATTAGTCTATGTTTATTTTCGACCATTGGGCAACCCAACAAAGAGCAGATCTAGGTCTATGTACCGCTAAAAAACAGTATAAATAGCCGACGCTGCCTAATTGATAGAGCCATTTATGATTAGATTAGATTCGGTGATCATACCATAAGGAGTGTGTTTGCTTGTTTCTCTTACTCGCNATAAATCATATATGAATCTACCAAATAATTAATTATAGCTACAAACACTAATACTATTCCAAAACCAAAAGGTACACATGCCGAAGTCGAAATAATGAAATGCATCGACGGATAGTTGGTCCAGGCGAACCAGAACAAACTAACAGGCAGAGCAACGGCACCAACAATTGCTGGAGGAAGACGAGTTTCAGGTGGTACTTGGTGACTTACATTAGCTTGTGATAGTTTGATATATCGGCGATTATCCAAAATACAGTACACTACAGCTACAATAACACCGATTGCCATACCAAGAAATGAAAGACCGACACTACCAGATGTCCATCCTCTTTCTTCACCGTATACTATTGGAAATGCGCTAACAAACATGTAGAGAATACCATAAATTAAGGCCATGTACAAAGAGAGGAGAGAGACTATTGGCTCACGAATAAGAAATATCCAAGGCCGAGAAAGAGATATCTTTAGTAGACGACGAAAAATGACTTGATTCTTCACTTCAAACTTCGAGCGGTATACTAATCCTGTCATACGAGATAATTTCTCAGCTCGCAAACGAAGAAGAAAGGGTGCGTAGGTTTCCGAAAGGAACACAATTCCTATCAGTGCAAGTATACCAGTGAAAATAGCCATAAGTCCTTGTATCCATCTCCAATCAATCGCAGAACTAGCATAGCCGCCTAGATTAACAATTGAATATCTCCTCAGTTGAATACCTACTATTATAAGTATCGAAATACTTACCAACAATAGGTCCAAGAATAGGACCCAAGAAAGGCATAGCCGCATAAAATGTTAAGGCCGTACCACGATGGCGAACAGAGAATAGATCAGCAATTGTTCCTCCTGCCTGTAAATGTATATTAGAGTTATTTTTCTAAAGAAATCACTGTATCATGCAAAACTGTTTGATTTCGTTCCTGTCCATAGATAAAAGTACTGTTTACAGTCTTAAGCTTGCTAAAATATCTGTCCCAATTGTTACAGAGAAGTTGAAAGAAAACTCGGAATAATGACAGATTTTAAATCAGTGTTTCTTCAACAGAAGTATCGCAGAAAACGATCCTCTCCATTTAACATTATACAGTAAAAATAATGCACTGAAATCATTTTATTCGGCCGTTCAAACAAAAAGCGTAATGTTGTTTTTCTGTACTACTTAGGGAACTTTCGGATTATAAAAGCTTACTTTTTGCGATTTTCTACGGCCTACTAAGTGAAAATAGATTTGAGTGAATGAACGCAGGACCGTGGAGAGGAAATCTCCATCCTCAGACTTATATCGTCAGGACTGTTTCCCATTTTCTCCAAAACGAAAAGTAAGATAAATTAAATCCATTTCTAGATGAAAGAAATTAAACAATGACTAATTACTGTTCAGTAGTGGAAAGCAAACAGTTTCCGATAAAGACTACAAAACTTTCTGGTACATTCTTCTCCCTGTAGCATGTGAAGATCTTTGAAATATATATGGATTCTTTTCAGAATGTACTAAGGACTACATCTCACACAAATAAGACAAATATATTGTGTTTATCGACGAATTATATGGTAAATATGATAAACAAATACTTACGTTAGCAAGTGGTGAGGAACCAAAAGCACCAGCAAAGAAACGGAGAATGAGAATAGTCCAAATGTTACGTGAAGCAGCCGTACTAGCATTGAAAACAGTCAGAGCCACATATGTGATAATAAAAATGATACGTCGACCGAACATTTCAGAAAGCGAGGCCCAAAGAAGTGGACCTAAAATGATTAAAAATGTATAGAAGTGGGTAAAAATACAAACTCACCTAGAGCAAAACCGACAACAAAGAGCGAGATTCCAAGAGTTAGAACCTCTTGAGATGGTTGAAATTCTTTTTTGAGAGTATTGTATTCACTAATGAATATAGACGAACAAAACGTGACGCCCATAGCAGTAATAGAAACGAAGGCAGTTAAGAAACACTTGTAAATTGTATTCCAAGTTTGAGGATTTTCAGGATCATCTGACAGCCAGTCAACCGCATACGGATTCGTTAAAGTTCCTTCTCCTTGATAAGACTGATTGTAAATTTGATCAAAACCAGTGACGTAAGGTGAGTATGGAGTTCGAAGTCGAGTGCATTTCGAATAAGTTGTAGTAGCCGACTGATATTCCTTGGAATGTTCGTTCGGAATCATAAATAATGGAATCAATCAAACAAAAGATCAAAAGATTAAGAATAATCTGAAGAATACGATAGACAGAAAAAATAAACAATAAAATCCTTCAAACAATGGGAAACATATAATAAAGTTTTAGTTGCGACCACATTTCGAAATTAGTTTGTTAGCCCTTGATAAAGCCCAGTATAGCTTAACAGTATTGTTAGAAGCCTAACAGAATTCGCTAAGGGTAATCTGAACGAACTGTATTTCATTCAGAACTGGAAAGTTTTAACTTGAGGGTGAGGAGTGTGGGTGATGAGGGGTATTGATCAGAATGGGCGTATACGGCGTAATCGGCATATAGAGCATGATCAGCGTGATTATGCGTTATATGCCCATTATGCCTACTCTCATAAAAGCTCGTAGTATCTTTACTGTGTATTGTCGCGAATTGCGATTTCCTTATTCCATCTTTGTGTTAAAAATGGATTTCCTGGAAAGCGCTATAACGCATCAAATCGTTTTTACTGAGGGAAGTAAACTTTTCCCACACAATTTACAGTTTCATTAGTACTATTAAACCAAGTGTATTATTCCAATCCAAATATTCACTAAGATTTTTTGCGCCCCTTTAAGAAAAGTAGCTGAGTGTTCTGATAGAGCGTGGAATTCTCTGTTAGAACATACAACTATCTTTTTCTTTTATTGATTTATTTTGTAAGAAAATTAAACACCATGACCAGAACATGAAACGAAAAATGTCAAATACCTGCGTTCTTTCTGCCACTTGAATGTAAAATATCTTGTTAATATACAAAATGATAGAAAATTTCAAGCGTCTTCAGAATGTGTGACTACTTTTCAATACATAACACCGAAAAGAATAACAATTGAGGAACAAATTAAGCAAAGTGACCAAAAATCGCAGGTTGTTCGCTACTTGTCGAGGCTCACTAGCTTTACTCTTGACTGAAAAATAGAGAAATATATTTGCTTACTATTTTAACTCAAAACCTTCGGTTCTGACTGAACGTTTTTAGATCAAAACTTTATGATGACCAATGGATGAATTCTTTTATATGCCATCCTTCAATAGAAATCCTTTTCACTTATGACTCGTATTATTCCATAAACGTTTGAAACAGCAAGCGTTTTGATTTAATAATCTTATTTATTAAACTCACAAGAAGTTTTATAGACTAACCGCAAGGCGTTCGTCGGCATCTCTCCGGTAGGCCCAATATATTTAACTACATTTTTAAGACAGAAAAACAAGTTCACTTATTACTTATAACACTTAACTGAAACCATCCTTTTTCATAGGATCCTCTTTTGAGTCAGAATAAAGTCTTTCGCATCTTCGGCCATCAAGAAATGGGTCTTGTTTTGATCTCGTCTCCACATCAGGTCCTTCCCAATCATCCTTGAAGCTCAATACCTCTTTCCAACGCTATTCTATGAAATTCTGGTCATTTTCGAAAAGATGTTCTTCTCACCTTTGAACTTTGACCCTGACACAAAGAAACAGACAAACATTCAATCTATTTCCTTTACATGACTCTCCTCTCAGTTGAGGGAATTGAGCAATAAAAGAAAAAAAATTGAGTGTAAGAAAGGATAGAGAATTTCATCCTTTGTCGGAATATAAAGCTATTTTTCTTATTATATGGTTTCATAGGGCGAGAAACTATACCGAACGAGCTTACGAAACAAATTCTGTTCACAGAAAATCGAAACACAAGGGTGTTTGTATTGCACTCGATTTTTTTCGGTGATGAATTGTTCGAAACGCAAATCTAGTCATACACGGTTGTAGAGAATAACACGGGTTTTCAGAATATGCTATTACTTTTTGAAAAAACAGGTGTATGATAAATGTCCGAGAATAAGATGTGCAATTTCTTTTTCCCACGAATGTATATGAGTGAATTGCAATTTTATTGTACAATCAGTTCTTTTACGTGTTTTACTTATAACTACAGTTCTTGTTGACCAATTTGAACTTTTTTTATTTTGTTTATTTCTTTAATTATGCTGGCTCTGCCATATAATTTTCAAGTCTCTACCTTGCACACTCGTAGAGATATTCGCATTGAAAGATTAAAAAAACATCTTTTTGGATGACTCATTCAAACTAAAACCGATTTTTCTAGCAAAGAAAGAGGAATAAAAGAGAAGGTAAATATCACGTTTTGTAGAGCAACTTTCAGGCTATCGAAACATATGATTCAGAAATTATTTTGTTTTACTTTTATGATCGTTTATAGAGGTAATACTTTTACACACACATGTAGCTCCAGACGAAAACCAGCACTGTCAGATTACGGGAAATTGTTTTGGGAAGAATGAACCTACCACAAGATAGAGCATAAAAAACTCTATCGAACCAGTATAAAATATTCCAAAAAAAGTTCTCTTCACGGCAAAAAAACACAAAACCCCTGCTGTCACTCACTTTGTAGCTCCAGATTTCCGAAAGTGTTTCGTCAACAACTCTTGATGTACCTGTCCGATTCAGTTCAAACTTTTATCAAAGTTAGTACACAAAAAGTTCTGTAACTGGTAAAAATTTCAGCTATACATCATGTAAACTTTAGGAGAAATTTACATTTTACGTCAAAATGTAGCTCCAGATCTCTTTCACTGATTTTCGAGAGACCTATGTGCTGAATCGAGCTTTTTTACACGGTTTCTAGAGACTTCTATTAATAGCTTTTAGACTGATATAAGAGATTACAAGTGAGGAAATCAAATTGTGAATCATTACGAATGAAATTAAAAATCTATTCAAACTTTGACACTTATGTCCACAAGGTATCCAGGATGAGAACAAAGGTTTTTATGTATACTGAGTCGCTATAATTACACTCAAACTACTCGTCTGGGTCGAGATATATAGGTTTGATAGAGAGCTATCGGTTCATGTGTAATATGTGCGTCTTTGCTTTAATATTAAAGCATTTTTATACATTAGACGTTACACGTAAAACTCGGACTTTAGGGCATTGACTATCTCGGTCCGGTTGCATCTGGTAGTTGGGAAATTTTTACTGGATACTCAGAAAATGATGGAGAACAATATGCAGGTGTCAGATTTTCTTTAAACTCACTTTCATTTTTTTTCGTCAATTGTATAATAAAGTTGCAATTCACTCATATATACTTCATCCATGCGCCATATTTTTCAATGCAAGCGAATCTCACTATATTGCGCGACGAGAATAAGAAATTACGAAATTTAGAACTTAAAGTTTAATCAATCAAAACTGTAAGTATATGAACATAAAATGTTTATATTCATATCCGTCGATTTCTGAAATCATGAAAATCAATAAAAACAGGAAAAAATATTCATCTAATTTTCGCATCTTGAAATTTCAGGAAAATGTTGGTTATATCAATCTTTATACGATTTTTTGTTAGTCTTCAAATTTTAAAACACGAATGTCATACGCACCGGTCCAATTTCTATTTTCAACGAAACATCCAACTTTCTCCAATTCACTTTCGAATCAAGTTGTTTTTGTTTAGGCATAAAATAAATGTATGTTCGACGGTAAATATGAAGGCTGTAACGGATGAATGCATTTTTCTAATCGTTCGGTCATTTTTAACATAGGCAGAAATATAGTTAACAAGCGTAACACAAGCATAAATATTTGGTGGGAAAAAGCCTTCAGCGAATTTTTGTTTGCTACAATATTGACGAGTATCAACAATATCTATTGACTTAAACAGTATTAGCTTTATCATGGCCGATAATACCAAAGCTTTAACAATGCAAAATCTAAATCAACACATAATTGACTGTGAATATGGTGTTCGAGGCTCTTTTACAATTCGTGCTGCTGAAATTGAACAAGAAGTCAAATCGGTATTGATATATTTTCTTACATACTAAATTTATATTCTTATTCCAGAAATCTCATCAATTTCCATTTAATCATGTTATTCAACTTAATATCGGTGATGGGTTTGCTAGCGGTCATCAGATGCCTATCACATATATTCGCCAAGTTCGTTAGAGTTTTAATTAGATTTTAAAATAGCAATTCAATTTATAGTTTATAGCCGGCTGTGCTAATCCAGCACTCCTGAATTCTTTTGAATTTCCATCAGATGTTAAAGAACGAGTAGAACGTGTATTGAATATATGCACTGGAAAAACTTTCGGTTCATACAGTGAAAGTCCTGGCATTAAAATAATACGACATGATATTGCCAGCTATATTCAACAACGAGATGGATATCCATCGGATCCAAATAATATTTATCTAAGTAACGGCGCAGCAGGCGGAATCGAAACAGTGCTTAAACTTCTTATGAATAATTCAAAGAAACCATCAGGAATTGTAGGTATGAAGTAGCTTGAAAACTTCATCAATTTGTCGTTTTAGCTAACGATGTATTTCCATAAAAATTGAATATGAGTTTGAGCCACTGCTTTTTCATTTCTATTCAGATTGAATACCGAAAGTATCCATTGGAAAAAAGGCAAAAAATTGCTGCCATGCGGCTATTTTTCTTTATTGCGGAAGTCAGGCCATAAATGAAGGTGTCAGAAATTGTAGGAAACTGCGCCTTTTCGGAGTATTAGACATTTCCATTAGTCGTCTGATGGCCCCTCTATAGGAAAACAGAAGTTTCAAAACCTAACCCACATGAGTTCGTTCAAGGTGTCGTAGGTCATTCTCTCTATTCTAAGAGGCGTTGCTTTCTGAGAAGCTTTGCGGAAACTTTTTCAGGTTCTATTAGTGGCGCTACACAAAAAGACTTGTGCCAAAAGTTATGATAAAGCAGGACACATCCTTCCTAGGATCATTACGCATTCAGCTTTTAGTTTATAAGCCGCGTTCGTAAGCTAGTACGCCACATTGTCATAAGAACACAGTTTACATCAGCGGCTTTACAAAACATTTTTTCTCTGGGTAATAGCAGTAATTATTTATCTGTTTTCACAGAACGCAGACCAAAGCAAAATGTTCTTTGATTCTTGTTGGTAGCGGAATTTTGCTGCCTAAACGTGAGGTGAGAAATGTCAGATTTTGTTCTTGACCACTCTTCGATTTAAAACAAGTTGGCAACTAAGACAAACTCTCATAAATTTTAGTAGAAATAATCGGAGATTTATAGTCGTCATTATCATAGTCAAGTGATTCTCAACTGTTGATCAAACCTTTTCTCAACTGACAAAGATTGTCTGACCCTAATTATCTGTCCTGAAATCTATCACCTTTTTTCACCGCTGTTCCTTGCTAAAATTCTACTATGATTTATAGTACACTGATAGGCTATCCTAAAGAAATAAAGTAAGGCAATTGGATCGATCACCTGCACCTACATCCACAAGACAGAATTGATTTTGCTTTTATCCTTAGATGATTCCTGTTCCCCAATTTCCATTTTACAGTGCTATTTTAACGCAATTTGGAGCTCATCAAATTGAGTATTTTCTCGACGAAGATAACGGTTGGCCATTGCATATAGATGAACTAGAGCGTGCGTTAAATGAGTCAAAAGCTAGATGTATACCACGTGGTATTGTAATTATTAATCCTGGAAATCCTACTGGTATATACATATTATTTTATAATATGATATGAATTTATGATTTATTATTAGGCCAAGTCCTTTCATCTGAAAATATCGAAAATATCATTCGTTTTGGCAAGAAAATAATTTTGCTTTTATTCTCGATAAAAATGTGCTTTCAATTTTAGCGCATAAACATAATTTATTCTTATTAGCGGATGAAGTCTACCAAGAAAATGTTCACTCATTAGATTCCAAATTTGTTTCTTTCAAAAAGATACTCATGGATCTTGGTTCCCCGTATAACCAAATGCAAATAGGTAGCAAATAAAAGTTTCATCTTCACTTCATGTATTATTTTCTAATTTAGCCTCATTTCATTCAGCATCGAAGGGATGGCATTGCGAGTAAGTCCAAAAACGTGGCGAGCAATGGCGAATTTAGAGGAACGATTGAGTGGTCGTCCTTCTCTCTTTCCGAATTTTCTTGATTTTCTCCAGCAAAAACGAACGAAAAAAATAGCTTTACTCTATATCCATTGACCTAAAAAATCTGTTTTTAAATCAAAATCGCTCAATCTTTAATCACGGGCGTCCCATATTCCTCCGACAAAATTACCCGTCCCTTCCAAAACCCTAGATCCATCACCGATGATAAGAGACAAAAAAGAGTATTTTCTCCACGTGAAAGCATTATCAGAAAGAAAGACATCGCAAAAAGTCTTTTTTGACTTATACGAGCAAATCAGCGATATTTTACATCAAGGCTCGAAAAGCAATATAGCCATGAAATTTCTGATATAAGCAAATGTGTCGTAATATCTGATATGAAACTCTGAATTGTGACTCTAGCTTCGACAAAATTAGAGCAAAAGGGGCCTTTCAAATCAAGATGATGATCACATAGATGTTACATGATAACAGATCATCGACATTTAGAATAAGTACGAAAATCTAACAAAAAAAATTGAACTATTCTCATAAAACGTAATTTATCGTGCTCGCTCATATTTTATATACTTAGAGTGTACCAAACAGTCTGATTATAACGTTCAAAGAATCCTGTCGTATAAAAATTATTTATAATTGAAAAATGAGATGCATCATTTTTTAGAGAAAACCTGAAACATGTCGAATGATATACAATAACAACGATTTCTTATAAGATTTTAGCGGAGTTCGAAGTAATTTGTTAGTGAACTGTCATCGTAACGAAAACACACGAGAGAAATGATCAAGTATTATTTCGTTACTGCTGTAGAATTTTATTTATTTTTTAATTGTAACCATAATGACGAGCAGGTACACCAATAAAATCGCCCATATCGTGTCTGATAGCACGGCCATGTATCCAAAAATTCTAATACCAAAAACAATAAATGTAAATCATAGAAATACCGATGTCGTTTAGGATGAATAAGACGAACGCAGACAGTATGCATTTCAATGTGTAGTTCGTACACAAGTCTATAGAATTTTGTAGAAACATTGTTTTCTGTAAATACTTTTCAATTACATCTAGAGACACAATGGCCAGTAACTGATCTTACTTTGAAATAAACTCCAGTATATTAGTAAATTAGTTTTAGTTACACCCTCAACCCTATGGAAACCAGTTCTAATATTTCCATAGAATAGTAAGCCCTCAAAAAGGACACTTATAACTGAAGAATCAGTTTATCAATGTAATCTATGCTTTGATCAACCCTTTTTTCTTGAAAAACCTCCAAAACATTTCTTATCCGTTGCAAACTGATAAACCCTTCTCCCACACATCAATTTAATCAACTCCAAAATGATGATTTTCTCTGTGTTTAAGGCTTGATCAAGGAGTAGGTCACCTTGATAAACTAATTATCCAGTTATAAACCTCTTTTTTGAAGGGTTTATTATTCTACGGAAATTTTCTTAGTGTAGGACAGTGCGATTATTAGTTTTAAATAAATCTTGTACATAACTAGACAAAATCTTATACCTTACATGGTCCAATGAGATTAGCTTCACTTTCATATGCTTCTATAATTCTAATATTGGATTGGACAAAAAAAAAAAGATTATTCTTACATATATCAGCTTTGGGAAACACATCGTAAACGTTATAATCATGCACTTTACCATATTTCTAACACTAAGTATACCTATTCGTGTAAATGAACTCTTATTTAAATAGTTATGTCTTAAACTCTGATGAGAAACTCTACTATAATCCTTGACCAAAAAATCACGAATAGTAGAATAAGGAACATTAAGACTACCTTACTTATTTCTTCAGTTCGTTTTATTAAGAGAACTTGGAAAATTTTGAGACATCTAGAGTTCTATCGTGAATAAAAAACTCAGATCTGAGTAAGTCAATGTCAAGACGATTATATAACAAATAATTCCATGATTCTCGGTTAGGCGTTCATGTAGAGTGATTTCTCATATAAAATATCTCGTTTTTAGAAGTGGCTTTCGTGGTGGTTATTTCGAGATAACCAATCTTGATAAAGATGTGAAAGCGCAAGTAAACAAATTAGTGTCACTAAGTTTATGTTCTAACACTTGGGGTCAAGCTGTAATGGGTGCAATTGTAAATCCGCCAAAAGAAGGCGAACCATCATATGAACTTTATAAAAGAGAACGGTCAATGATGACTAATCGATTACAAGAGCAAGCGACTCTAATCAATGAATTGTTTAATTCAATGGAGGGCATCATCTGTAATCCAGTTAAAGGGTAGGCTAGTAAACAGTTTTTTAAGTCTAAAATTTGTTTGTAGCGGTATGTTTGCATTCCCACGAGTTGAAGTCCCTTGCAAAGCAATTGAATACGCGAAGTCAAAGGACATGACTCCAGATAATTTCTATTGCGTTGAATTACTGGAAAATACTGGCATATGTGTTCTACCAGGGAGTATTTTCAAGCAACGACCAGGAACATATCACTTTCGTACAAATATTCTACTATCAGCTCATCAGATAAAAGATATGGCTGAGAAATTTCGTACATTTCATGTATCATTCATGCACCGATGGCAATAGTTTTCTTTTATCATCTTTTTGATTAACTGTGTTACTAACAAGCCTCTTTTGACATTATACTGGAAGCATATCATTTTGGCAAGCATTACTTTTATTTTTGCACCAATGTTTAACCCTCAATATTTCACTTTCATATTCAAAGCGGTAAAGAGATTATTAAAATGACGATTTTTCTTTGTTTGGAATAGTAAACACAAAATTTACGCCTTATAGAATCTTCGTTGCAAATAGACTCTGAACACTCATGGCATTGATTTTCAAAATTTCCTATCAGGGACAGGGCAAGTACAAGTACAATTACTTTGTACTGACTTCATTAACATAATACTTAATTCAGTGCGTTTTTACTTGAGTACTTTGCAACCAATTATTAATGAGGTCGGTGAAGTATTAGGACCAATTTACCTATGTCTCAAGGAACCCGACGAACGGATAAGCGAGAGTGAGTTTGAAAATATGTTTTTCCGTCTCCAGTTTAAACTTTCCTAGACGTTCGCGCAAAAATGTTTCAGTCAAGAAATGTCGTCATCAAATATAGCAAATCTGGCAAACTCACCAAGGTGCTTGTTCATTACTGATCTGATATGGTCCTAGCTCCAAATGCACCAAAGAAGTGTCTTTTTCTTTCGGACGCCTGGTCTACACAGAGTGAAGTCGAAATATACAAGAAAGTGTCAGGTTGCAAACATCTCGGCATCCCATAGAAGACCACCGATCGATTGCAACCGCTCGATGTAAGACATAGTTTTGAGTGGTTGATTGATATTCGATTAATGTAGTGCACAGATTGAAATAAAATCTTTACCATGTGTAGTTGGTGAATCTGTACGCGCTCTAGAAGCTGTACACATGGTCGTGAATTGTTTGTATGTAAAGAAAACTGTATATTAAATTATGTTCTGCTGATGATTAACTTCGGTAAATCGAAAAGATCTCATTCAATTTTATATATTGATTATCTTAGCCAGCCGTGAACAATATAATAGGTTCCATTGGAACGAAATTTCTATCAAGTTTCATCTTCGTTGTTCTGAAGAAAAATAATTTTTTTTGTGTTTCTTCAGAATGAACTATAGCATTGTTTGAAAATATAGAAGTAAACTGTATAATAGTATATAATCTCGAAGAGAATGAAGATTTTGTTGCATACACAAACATAAATTCGAAGAGACGCGAGCTCACGAACCTATGAGAAATGTAATGTGATTGTAAAATCAGTATCTAAGAGTTAAATTTCAATAGCCAATTTGTTCAGTATAGTCCGAGAACTCCAATTTCACGTTTCAACCAATACTTTCTGATCTTCTACTCATGAGACTGTGGCTTCTGGTAAAAAGAATGCATACGAGCACGAAAACGCGTGATTCTTGACCAAGAAATGTTCTACGATCGTACTGCATTGATAGTCGTTGAAACGAAGTCTATCAAGAATATGCTTACAGTCATATGTATACTGGCAACAACAAAAAGGTAAAGTACATCAATTTTCGCGTTCACTCACGATCAATATGACATAATAGGATATCAGTCATTCACAGTGTACCAAATTATAAATATGATTACTGATGAAAAAAGGTGCTGTTTTTTTATTTTATTTTTGTGATTCATTTGACGCTCAGTATTTGTTTTATAAAAAAACATTGTTGCGTGACAACAAAACAAAAGCAAACTACAGTAATACGATAGATCAGTCAGCGTTCTCTTTCTACCTGTCATAAGGACAAATATTACAGTAATAAAGGTGACATTCCATTATCTGACTATACTTATTAGGTGAGCAAGAAATTTTTTGCGCTTTTTTTCTCAAGTTTCCTTGAATATCCGAGAAAGTTCTAGAAATTCCCACATTAAGAGTATATAAAGGGGGAACAAATGTCTTGCGAACAAAAACAAAACAAGCAACGCGGCCTAGTAGGCGCTAATACCTGTCCAAAGAGAGAAAAAAGATATTTCAGTTGAACGAGCTGATCTTTTGATAATTTGTCAGAATGTTTTACTTGGACCATTTTCACTTCCTGAAATCTTGTGAAATTAACGCCTAGTCCTTTGTCGGGCTCCTTTCGGACGAAGACGCGATCCAGAAATGAGCTCATTTCGGAGAATCAATTCATAATCGAAAACTTAGAAACATGACATAAGTATATCATTCTCTGGAAAAGGTTTCATTCTTCTCTTCACCACGACGAACTTTAAAGAACTGTCAGCTATGTTCGTGCAGATCATATCGACTAAGTTCTACATCCAAGAAATCTAAAAGCTATATGAAAATAACAAAATTCGTTCTTTAAATATTATTCTTCAAATCGACGACTGGTCGTTACATGTACATTTTTGCTCTTTCATCTAATCTAGAACCACTTTCGAAACTAATCAATCCATTTCCTTCTGGCCCTTCTTAAAAAGTCACCACTTTTGTTTTACTATGGCTATCGAAGACAACACTTGACAAAGGAAACACCATTTTGATTGACTTGCACCAGATGATATATGCACAATATAGCTATCTATACAAGTTTGTGATCTCATTAATATGCCGACAGCACTCGGACTTCAATCAGCAATTAGATTTTGTTCTACATATTGCCGCTTAGAACATTATCGGCTACAAAAATTGATCCTTTGTCGCAAAAAAACGCGACAGAAAGTGTTTATGAAAAAATTAATAGCGAATTTGACATCCTCGACTTCAATTACCCCTTGGCCAAACTTTCTTCGTAAACAGTATAGATTGTTATTCTATCAGTGTAAAGTATGTGAACGGGAAACCAATGAACTTTTATTCAAATTCTGTGAATGCCCTTCTTTCAGTAGAGGGAATTATGGATATGGATGTTGATCTTTCTTGAATTAGAAATGAAAATATCATGTAGGGAGCTGCGAGTGCTTTTGCTTCATGAATTCCGTTTGGTTCCCAAAGCAGCGGAAGCAACACACATGTACTCTCTATTCGCAAAGTGCAATATTGGTTCCATCGGTTCAAGAATGGCAACTTCGAACTCGACGATTTGCCTCATACCGAAAGACCATCAGAGGTTAATATGGGTCGTTTAAAGCAGCTTATCGAAGACGATCCTAGGTTGACTACGCAGTGTTTAGCAGAGCAACTTGGGTGCTCTCACACTACAGTGGAAACACATCTGTACGAATTGGGCACAGTGTGGAAATATGGAGTTTGGATGCCACATGATCTGTCACCACATCAGCTCCAACAGAGAGTCGATGCGTGTATGGAATTAAATCAGAATTGAACGAGAGAGGTTGATAGATAATTTGAATCCCCTTAAAATATTTATGCCTTTAATATTTCATTGGGAGATGCGATTGGTTGGTTACGATACTGATGTATGGCATATGGAGTTGATCCAACGAGAGAATCTCTTCAGGTGTTCTCTCAGATATCAATGAAATTTCGCTCAAAAGTAACATATGGTGCCCTAATAAAAACTCTAAAAAGATTTGAGTTGAGAGTTATGCCTGTTTCACAAGATTCCAGGTATTCTGGCACTCACCCGGCCAAATAAGTAAATGAATGAAATGGGACTTGAAAATGCCATGGCATGCAACTCTAATGATGCCTATATTATTCTAAAAGTTTTAGCCGAAAACTATGTTCATTGGTTGATATATTGAAGTTTTGACAAAACGCCACTTCTAACTCAAAGTCGTGAATAGTCACCGTTTTGTGAAAATTCAATATCTCTACAAAGAAACATGGCTTTCGGCTAAAACTCCCAGGATAATATAAACATCATTAGAGTTATCTATTGTAGTAGTTTCTCAACCAAGTACGCTAATTAACTTTTCCGACGTCTATTCGATACAACTGAAAAATTGTGGGTACCTGTACAACGATTAAGGTTCTCTAAAAAAGAGATTTATGAAATACAGTCTAGCCTGTAATTAACGTTGCATAATTTCGTACGGTGCTCACGCAAGAACTAGTTATGGTAGGGTAATGATCTAACTAGTTGTCTCGTAGTTACGTCATGAACAACATGTCGTTTCCATAAAATCGGGATTCAGTAAAATATACATAACTCTCGAACGAATAACTCTCAACTCAAACCTTTTAGAGTTGCTATCAGGCATCATGTCACCTTTGAAAGGAATTTCATTGAAACGTAAAGGGAACATCTGAGGAAGTTTTCTCGTGAGTATGACTTTCTCTCTTTCTCACAAAACAAAAATTGATTTTGTTATTTTTTCCGTTTCATACCCGGCAACTGATCTCCTCTCGTTGGACAACATATATGTTTAAAAGTTTTCAGTTGTTTTGTAATCTTCTAAGAAGTGAATTAATAGTTTATAGTGTCTTTTACAATCAGCAAATGTAATGATAGTGACTAAAGTCGTTCATAGTCAGTAATCAATAGTTGGCCATTTCCTGTATGGACCAACAATTCACCAGTTGATTGTTCAGTTATTTCTCCAACTTTAGCATCACTAGAGTTGTCCTGCATGAATGTTTGTTGACTGTCCAAGCCACTCAAATTATCATAATTTTTCGGACATATTAGTAAACTTTTCAATGGTCTGATCATTTTGTCATTCATCTCGAACAATGCTTGGCGAACAAGATATTCCATTGTCGCGTGATAGTCATGTTTATGCCACACTGATGTTGCTCGAATAAGACAATCGATTTCAATAGCTGGCCTTTCCCAATTTATAGTACGTTGTTCCACTGTAAAAAATGGAGCGTATGAGTGTTCGCCGTCATTTTGTATTTCACCTTTATATCCTTGCTGCACCAGTTTAAAAACTGTTGCCATATTGTCCATCAATATTTCTGGAACTTGCATGTAAATAGAAAAAAAGTTGTCAGTTGACGTCAATGGTCTTGTACCTTGCAAAATAATCCTGCCTGTATCATATTTGTCATCCATGTAATGAAATGTAAACCCAAGAGTCTTCTCATTATTCAAGATTTGCCAACCAATTGGATTTGGACCACGATATTTGGGAAGCATTGATGGATGTAGATTAACGAACCCATATTTGGGTATACTTAATATCGTCTTGTTTAGCCGAAAGGCAAACTGCAGAACAAGACCAATATCAGGTTGAAGAGCTGTGATTATATTCGCCAAATTACCTTTCATTGTATTCACTATTAGTGTCGGAATATTTGGATTTAAGTCTTTGATACGATCTTCAAAAGCTTTTTGATGATTATTAGTAACCATTGATGGTAATCCACGAATAGTTACAAATAATACTAATTCGTGCCCAAATTCTTGTATTTTCTCATAAACAGCGTTAACTTTTTTACCAGGGATAGTAGAAAAATATATAATACGCATTTCTTCCAAATATTGATACACTGGTTATAATTCGTTTATATTATTCTAATAGAAGAAGAAAGACAGAATCTAAAAAGCAAGAGTACGGTTTAGTACAATAATAAACTTTAGCCACATAAAAAGTAATCTAGCATGAGCTTTTTCGCTCATTTCCATCCTTCATAAATGTGCTCTAGTGTCGTGAGATTTTTTTATCGGTTCGTCCGTTTTCTTTTAATATAAAAAAGACCGGCAAAAGACAATAGTGACTATTTTTTATAAGAAAACAAAGTATTCAGAACTGATCATCATCACAGATGCATACATTTTACAAGATTCGTGTAAACGTGGAGAAACGATTAAGTAGAACATTGAATTGGGTTCTCTTCATGCCTCAGTCGGTTCGGGTCATATTTCTATGACAATAACGAACTAAAAATATATTTTAATTCTGACAGATGCTGTTTGATTCGTCATTCGTCGTTACACCGAGCTGCGGGTAGCCACACAAAACAGTTTTCTCTTTCTGCGATATTGATAGTGAGTCATCGTACCTCTGTTCAAGAAACATGGCAAGCGCCAAGGGCGTTATGCAAACTACAGCGGAACTCGTTGCGAGCCCACAGGAGGCAACTCCCATCGAAAGTGAATCTATGGAACCCAATCAAGCTCAATTAAATAAACAAAAATCTTCTAAAAGAACGAAAGGCACCAATGACTCATTCGAAGAAGAGCATCGATTGGCCCCAAAATCAAACCAATACTTCAACAACAACTTCACGCGACCGACAACCAACTCCGCATCGACTGCTCAGGTTCGCCATCCCGATGCGGCCGGACGCGATCGTCAAGTGACGTTTCCACCGTTCAAAATCGATTTTACGGACGATACATCACCTACAGAACTATCCATTATCAAGGACATAAATAAATCGTGCAAAATCTGTTTATCTTTCGGTCGATATTCGCAAGCAGGGAAGAAGAAAAGCTTCCTACTGTATGCTAACTCAAACGAGCAATACGAACGATTACTGGATAAAAGTATCTGGCCTGCAAAAATTTGTTCAAACAATTACAAGTTAATCATGCCGTCGAAAGTTCCCTCGTCGTACTCATTGATTGCTACTGGAGTACCAGCTCAATGGGATCTCGCGGAATTCGAACTGGATGTAAAGAAAAAATACAAGTCAATTACAAAAGTCGAAAGAATGCTGGTGGGTGGTGGCAGACCAATTGCCAAAGTCAGAATCGATTTCTCCTCGAAAGCCGAACTCCAAACGATTCTCAAGAACAAACGTATTTTAATCGACGAAGAAAATACGTCGTTCCAGGTGCTACAGTACCATCCTCCAGTGAAAATTCTTCGCTGCTTTAATTGTCAAGAATACAACAGCCACATAGCAGCCGACTGTCCAAGAAAAGAGAATCCAACATGCTATCGTTGCGCACAAAATCACGAATACGATCCAAACTGTCAAAACAAAATACGCTGTGCGAATTGTCAAGGCGATCATCTCGCCGGAAACCCGAACTGTCCAGTGAAGATCGAAGAACGTTTGAAATTCAAGGCAAGTACGGAAAAGCGCATAGGGCAACAGCAAAGATCGACCACTGTCGATGCAAATGCCTGGTCAAATTCGACACGTTTGAGTCGCCCGGTCGAGCAACAGCCGTCTACCGCTGCAGCTCCAACGCCTCAACAGGAACCGAACGGAGTAGCCTTGGAGGAATTCATGAATAAGCTCGACATGATTGGTGAGAAAATTGATAAGTTATCCAAAGAACAAAGCAAAATCGTGGTTAACTTCGAATGCATTAACAAGCAGCTAAAATCATGTCAAGATGCAATCAACATGTTCAAGTGTTTTGTCCTGGAACAGATCTGTCCATTATTAATAGAAACCAGCAAAGGTATAATGATCAAGAAATCGGAATTGAACACTCAGAAACTGCTCTCGATGATCGAAAATGTAAACAAAGGCCTCGATCCGGACAAAAAGAAACACGTAGACAAGGCGAGACAGCGAAATTCGACAGTGAAAACAAATGCTTCTCAGTATGAATCCGCTGGCGAAGACATTTAACCTGCATCCACAGCTCATAAACTCATTCGTTATTCCCACAAATTGTTTATCGAAATCGGAAGCCAGCATCCTACAAGCAGTTGTAAGCGAATGGACAGGTACACCAAGTCTAGGCAATCTCCTGGACAAATGGTCAATTTATCGTAATGACTCTCTTACAAGGATGAATATGGGCCATAACATCTCCTTGCTGCTATTAAATGTAGCCAGCTTGAGTCGGTACCTGGCAGAAGTCTTCAACTTATTTGAGGTCACGTCCTCGCCGATAGTTATCCTCACTGGAACACATCATAAGAAAAAAGCAACGAAACGTCTTGCTGCACATGCATTTAATTACAATTTTTTCACGTCGCAAGGATCAAATGCCTTTGGAGGTGTCCTAGTGGCCATTCACAAGTCAATTCGTTGTCAAAGACGGGACGAATTTAATCAGGTTAATAACCTAGTAGTACTCGAACTCGGTGAAGGTACTGATGCATTTCAACTGGCCTCTTGTTACTCTCCTCCAGCTGAAAAAATCCCGCTCGAAATCTTCGATAGTATCCTCGACATCAATCCAAACACGATCTTCGCTGGTGATTTAAACGCGAAGCATAGTTCATGGTCAGTTTCAATCGAAAATGCGAAAGGGTATGCCCTTTATAACTGGCTAGCCTCGTCTAGGATCCATTCGTCGTTAGAAATTATAAATAAGTATGCTACCACCTCAACTCGCTCGGATGCAACCATTGATTTATTTATTGCTCCCTCGAAATTTGCCACGTCAAAATTCTCCGTACTCAAATCGATTGGTAGCGATCATTTTCCGATAATCTGGAACCCGCATATGAATTTCCGCTCGAACCATGTCAAACTGCCGATCCAACGAACAAAATGGAAAGCTTTCGATCTCTTCATTACATATGTTGGTAGTTACTGGCAAGAACTAGCGGATCACATGAACCATTCAGCTATGTTCTTCACATTATACGAGCGTTTCTTATCGTTGTGTCTTGCGAGATTCACTATCGTTTCACTCTGCAATTCGGTGAAACCATCTCTCCCAAATCACATCGTGCAGATGATCGATCAAAAGCGACTGTATCTTCAACTCTTTCGACGAACACGACATCCCTTTTTCGCATCGGTGCTTCGTCATATATCGAGGCTCGTGTATAAAGAGATCTTCCAGTACAAAAGGCAAGCGTGGCAAATTTATTGCAAATCGCTAAACGACTGCGACACGAAGCGGTTTTGGAAGAAAGCAAAAAATCACTTCAAAGCAAAATCTATCCCTATCGTTGGGCTTAAGCACAACAACAACGTAATCGTTGACCGCACAGAAATGTGCGCGATTGCCAAGGATTATTATGAAGCTCAATTTACCAGTCATTCACGAGAGCATACAATCATCGAAGCTGAAGCTGAGGTGCTGGACGAAGAACTGGAAAAGGCTTTGATTATCGATCCACCAACGCCAATCACAATCGATTTTCAGGAGCTGAAACGTTCGGTTTCAACGCTCAAAAACAAGAATTCGTCAGGATTGGATGGCGTTTCGAACAGGATTATCAAAGCACTCCCATCGAATCATCTATCGATTATTCTCAAATGTTTCAACAACTTCGGAAGGACACTACAAACCTCTCCGCACTGGCACACAGCCAAAATGATCCTGATACCTAAAACAAAAGCAAGGACGATCGCCATTGAAGAAACTCGCCCAATATCGTTACTACCGTGCTTTTCGAAGCTATTCGAAAAGTGCTTCTTAATCCACTTCAGAAAATGGATTAACAGTCAAGGTCTCCTGCCCGACGAACAAACCGGTTTTCGTCCAGGTCACAACATGGCAGTTAGATTGGTCGCGATTGTTGATCAAATCGGACAAAGTCTGGCGAAACATACTGCTGCCGGTGGTTTATTCGTCGATTTTCGCACGGCCTTCAACCAGCTTTGGTTTCAGGGACTGTGGATCAAATTAATCAAATTGAACTGTCCGAAGTATTTAATCGCATGGCTGCGGCACTATTTACGTGATCGCAATGCTTATATCGACATGATCCCAGCGAAGTCTATCGTCTTCGATTTAGCAAAGGGTGTCCCGCAAGGTAGTGTGGTGGGACCGGTGTTATTTATAGTATACCACCATGACCTCCTCGAGTCACTCGACACGATCCACTGGAAACACCTTTTTGCAGATGATCTAGCGATTCTGTTTACACCCGACTCGTCTTTAGCACCACCAAATATGATCCAAGACATCGTTGAGCACCTAGAAGAGGTCCTGGTCAGACTCATCGACTACTCTAAGACCTGGAAGCAGCCGATCAACTTCAATAAAACCTACTGGATGCTGTTCAATAGACAAGTTGCTCCAAAAGTTCCAGTGATCGTCTGTCAAGATCATCGTATCGATCGAGTAAATAGATTTAAATATTTGGGCACTATTCTCGACGAAAAACTGTCGTTCAATCCGCACATAGATCACATCAAATCAAAAATAAATGCAAATTTGAAGATTTTCAAACGTCTTTCATCGACAAGAATGACAAGCGAAAATACCAATTTCAGACTCTACAACGCGTACATTCGACCATACTATCAGTCATTGTTAAATATTTATCCAATGTTATCAATAGGCAAAAAAGAGCAATTGGAAGGTCTAAATCGAAAGATATTCAGAATTATCTATAACTGGCATGATGCCAGGAATATAGAAATCTCAAATATGGACAAATATCGATCACTGGCCGACTTAGCGTTAACGCACTGGAGTAAACTGAAAGAAACGATCTTCCGTACAAATCCCGGCATAATCCAGGACTACTTACAACACAAACTGGCGATAGTATATCTCAAAGAGTACGTAAACAATCCTGTGTTGATGCGGCAAAGAAGAACAATTTTTGGAAGAGGTCGAATTCGGAAATACATAAGGAATCTAACGACAGACAACCAGATGACTCTCCTTGATCACGTCTTGGCTTACCATAACTGAAATTTCCGCTTACTACTGTGACGTGTTGCTGACTTCAAGTTTTCGTTAAACAAAACAATGGTGATTTTTTTTCTCGTCTACCGTTCTCCACTTTCCTTTCTCGTCTAGCAGTCAAGTTACTTGTCTTTTCTCCGTTTCTTTTTTCCAGCCACGGCGTGCGTACGATGGACCACGCCTTTCTCTTTCACTTTCTCAAGCATGCATTTCAATATGAACGAGACATGCCTCCTAGTTTCTCTACAGTGTGCAATGTGCTATTTCCTCTGCGTACGTCCATGTGGTTTTTTTTTTCAGGCTACAGAAGCGAAGTTCGCTTATAGTCCAGGGGGAGCTGTTGATGGACACTCCTCAATGTTAGTAGCATTAATAAAAAAAAAAAATGCTGTTTGATTCGTTGGCTTTATATAGGGAGTAAAGTTTTGCGACGAAAGAAAGATACAAACAGGAAGTATTCAGATCAAGAGGACAATAGACAAATTCGAAGATTAAATTAGTCAAGAAGCTCTCGACATTTTCTGGTTAATTGCTGGCGTTGAAACAGACTCGATCATGTTAGTTTGAATGGTATAATACATGTATAACTCGAAACTTGAATTCAACTATTTGAATATTTAGTTATCATAGTTAAATATCTGAAGCGAAGGGTACGTAAGGATGTGACGGGAGAGGAGGGAGGCTGCGAGGCAGCCATGGTGATGGGTTAGTGTCCCGTGAGAATGACGAAAATAATTGAATATTTGGATATCAAAAATAACCGTCGAATAATGGAATTCGAGTTTCGACTTTGACACTACTGACTTTAAAGGAGGCATGTATCATTGAGTGATCCTTTAATAAGAACGTGAGCACAAGACAATAAAAATCAATACACCATAATTTATGAAGTTTAGATAATCTTATCCATCATACTAGTGTTATTGAAATGTGCGATAAAAATTTACAAAATTAGCAAACAATAAGTACAATTATTTTTTTATCCAGAAATTGATTTGAAATTAACTAACTTGTTTCGACTTTTAACCTTTTTTCGTTGAGCATTATATGGTTGACTCGCAATTTTCTTGTATTATTCGATGAAAAAGTGTCGAAATTTCTTTTTGTGGACTTAAAAAGTGAGTACACTACTAAAATTGGTCAATGCGTCCGACCGCCCGTCCGTTTATCCGATAAGTCTCGAAAAGTCTGAGCGATGGACCGGAATTTTTCCTGCGCAGGTTTATCTCATGAATATCTCGGTTGAATTCGAAGATGTGAAGGATCGGTCAAGAAATGGCTGAAATATCGTAAAAATTCTAGAAAATGACTCCCACTAGTTCTAAAGGGGAGTACAGGTACTTAAAGAAACATTTTTCCTTCTGCCACATATACTACTATGATCAGTTTCATGAGAGCAACCACGATCGGAAATGCTGCCTTATATAGGTACCTTGGGTCTTCATATTCTATACTACACGGGTGCCCTTGGGTGATTATGTGCTATATTATGGAGGTACCCATAAGTCATTATATAGATTTGATACGTTATAGCGTTTTCAGGGTAATCGAAATTTACGTCGCCATAGGCCCCAACTATGGACTCTTGTTTATGGCTGACATAATGGGCATAATCAAAATTGGGAAATTCTCGACTATGACCATTATGCCCGCTTTAAACCTTTCACCGCGATTCGGACTTTCGAGGAAAATAGTTTTAATATGTCAATTTTCATGCGTGTCTAAGCTCGATAAATGTGCTCATTGGTACTTTTTAGTAGGTGTAGCCACTTTTTCCTTTCTGTTGTTTGTATCATCGCACCGTAGGTGTTTTATCAAATCGAACTAAATAGCTGCTCAAGTCTGTTGTGCCACTCGTATTGTATAGCGGTTATGAAATAATGAATCGAAATTTTAATTTTTCCTTTGCATTCCGTTCGTAATATTATCTTGTATTCATTCGCATGAAGGGTAACGATTTAAGTCATTAAAGAAAAACAAGTTGTAGATTTATCTGATCAGATATCAACATACTACACATGTTTGAGACGATCTAAAGGATGGTATCAAGAGGGTGCATTTGAGTTGAGATTGGGAATGTCGATAGTGAATGCTGATCTGCTTTGCAAAGAAAATTCTGACACAAGTCATAAGACAATGCTACAGTTTCACGAAAGTCTTGTACAACCTCTACTTCTTGGCGTGCTATACGAGAATCTAAAATGCGATCCGAAAGAACGCTGAACAAGCCAAACGAAATGTAAAATCGCAGATCATCAGCTCGCAGAAAAGAAAGTGTCTGGTAGAAATATTCAAAGATACTGTGACAGTTGTTACGCGAAAAACAAGGGAAAATAATCAAGAGAAGCATTGTGTGCAACGACAAAGAGAGTAAAAATTTTCTGCCCTGATTCTCACAACTTTTTGTCTTGATTGCTTTAACGAGCAGCAACGCAGTGAAAGGGTTAACTGTGGCACTGATTGGGCCACTATCGGTTTCTGAGTGCAACATGTAAGGAATGGCTCTGAAACAATATTAACAAGAAGCCGAATAATGGAAAGTAGCTTAATCAGTGCTGTAATTAAACTATTTGACGTGGAATTTTACAGTGATTCCAAATTCAGTGTTCATTTTATCGAATTTAGAGTCATAATAAATTGCAAAAGTACCACAATCTGCCTCAGGTTAGTAAGAATAGCGATCCATGCTAAATGAGAGAATAATTCTACGATAAGAATAACAAAATAAAAATCCATAGTCGTGCTCTACATCCGTATCAAATTGTGCGTTAAATAACGCGTGAATGAAAACTTTTTGTCTTATTCATCATAACTAGTTAGCTAGACAAAGTAATGTAGTCTATGATTTAGAACATAATCCACCCATAAATATTATGAGCAAATGTATATCACAGGTTGACCCAAGAGTCACGATACCAAAATAAAAAAATTGAATATTTTCATCATCGCTCGACCAAAAAAGCTGCTTTTTTAATCAATAATAGAAGAATTTAGAAGCTTTACACTCATGGGAATATAGCTAAACGAGCCTGCGTCAGGCGCCACAAATGGATTCAACAAAAGATTTCTCTATTCCACAAATAGAAAAAAACGGCTTATGAGCGAGAAAAGACAGTTTGTTCAGCTTTCATATGATGTACGCATCATATTTGTGAATAAAACGTGTTCTTTTCACGCATATTTACTCTGTGTATTTTCCTCTTCCTGCTGCACTAAAACTCATAATGCTACTTGGCAAGGTATAAAGCCTGTTTTTTTCTATCCGTAAAATAAAATAATAATTACTCACGAGACAATTACTTCTGGTGAAAAGAATGCATACGAGCACGAAAACGCGTGATTCTTGACCAAGAAATGTTCTACGATCGTACTGCATTGATAGTCGTTGAAACGAAGTCTATCAAGAATATGCTTACAGTCATATGTATACTGGCAACAACAAAAAGGTAAAGTACATCAATTTTCGCGTTCACTCACGATCAATATGACATAATAGGATATCAGTCATTCACAGTGTACCAAATTATAAATATGATTACTGATGAAAAAAGGTGCTGTTTTTTTATTTTATTTTTGTGATTCATTTGACGCTCAGTATTTGTTTTATAAAAAAACATTGTTGCGTGACAACAAAACAAAAGCAAACTACAGTAATACGATAGATCAGTCAGCGTTCTCTTTCTACCTGTCATAAGGACAAATATTACAGTAATAAAGGTGACATTCCATTATCTGACTATACTTATTAGGTGAGCAAGAAATTTTTTGCGCTTTTTTTCTCAAGTTTCCTTGAATATCCGAGAAAGTTCTAGAAATTCCCACATTAAGAGTATATAAAGGGGGAACAAATGTCTTGCGAACAAAAACAAAACAAGCAACGCGGCCTAGTAGGCGCTAATACCTGTCCAAAGAGAGAAAAAAGATATTTCAGTTGAACGAGCTGATCTTTTGATAATTTGTCAGAATGTTTTACTTGGACCATTTTCACTTCCTGAAATCTTGTGAAATTAACGCCTAGTCCTTTGTCGGGCTCCTTTCGGACGAAGACGCGATCCAGAAATGAGCTCATTTCGGAGAATCAATTCATAATCGAAAACTTAGAAACATGACATAAGTATATCATTCTCTGGAAAAGGTTTCATTCTTCTCTTCACCACGACGAACTTTAAAGAACTGTCAGCTATGTTCGTGCAGATCATATCGACTAAGTTCTACATCCAAGAAATCTAAAAGCTATATGAAAATAACAAAATTCGTTCTTTAAATATTATTCTTCAAATCGACGACTGGTCGTTACATGTACATTTTTGCTCTTTCATCTAATCTAGAACCACTTTCGAAACTAATCAATCCATTTCCTTCTGGCCCTTCTTAAAAAGTCACCACTTTTGTTTTACTATGGCTATCGAAGACAACACTTGACAAAGGAAACACCATTTTGATTGACTTGCACCAGATGATATATGCACAATATAGCTATCTATACAAGTTTGTGATCTCATTAATATGCCGACAGCACTCGGACTTCAATCAGCAATTAGATTTTGTTCTACATATTGCCGCTTAGAACATTATCGGCTACAAAAATTGATCCTTTGTCGCAAAAAAACGCGACAGAAAGTGTTTATGAAAAAATTAATAGCGAATTTGACATCCTCGACTTCAATTACCCCTTGGCCAAACTTTCTTCGTAAACAGTATAGATTGTTATTCTATCAGTGTAAAGTATGTGAACGGGAAACCAATGAACTTTTATTCAAATTCTGTGAATGCCCTTCTTTCAGTAGAGGGAATTATGGATATGGATGTTGATCTTTCTTGAATTAGAAATGAAAATATCATGTAGGGAGCTGCGAGTGCTTTTGCTTCATGAATTCCGTTTGGTTCCCAAAGCAGCGGAAGCAACACACATGTACTCTCTATTCGCAAAGTGCAATATTGGTTCCATCGGTTCAAGAATGGCAACTTCGAACTCGACGATTTGCCTCATACCGAAAGACCATCAGAGGTTAATATGGGTCGTTTAAAGCAGCTTATCGAAGACGATCCTAGGTTGACTACGCAGTGTTTAGCAGAGCAACTTGGGTGCTCTCACACTACAGTGGAAACACATCTGTACGAATTGGGCACAGTGTGGAAATATGGAGTTTGGATGCCACATGATCTGTCACCACATCAGCTCCAACAGAGAGTCGATGCGTGTATGGAATTAAATCAGAATTGAACGAGAGAGGTTGATAGATAATTTGAATCCCCTTAAAATATTTATGCCTTTAATATTTCATTGGGAGATGCGATTGGTTGGTTACGATACTGATGTATGGCATATGGAGTTGATCCAACGAGAGAATCTCTTCAGGTGTTCTCTCAGATATCAATGAAATTTCGCTCAAAAGTAACATATGGTGCCCTAATAAAAACTCTAAAAAGATTTGAGTTGAGAGTTATGCCTGTTTCACAAGATTCCAGGTATTCTGGCACTCACCCGGCCAAATAAGTAAATGAATGAAATGGGACTTGAAAATGCCATGGCATGCAACTCTAATGATGCCTATATTATTCTAAAAGTTTTAGCCGAAAACTATGTTCATTGGTTGATATATGGAAGTTTTGACAAAACGCCACTTGTAACTCAAAGTCGTGAATAGTCACCGTTTTGTGAAAATTCAATATCTCTACAAAGAAATATGGCTTTCGACTAAAACTCCCAGGATAATATAAAAATCATTAGAGTTATCTATTGTAGTAGTTTCTCAACCAAGTACGCTAATTAACTTTTCCGATGTCTATTCGATGCAACCGAAAAATCGTGGGTACCTGTGCAACGATTAAGGTTCTCTAAAAAAGAGATTTATGAAATACAGTCTAGCCTGTAATTAACGTTGCATAATTTCGTACGGTGCTCACGCAAGAACTTGTTATGGAAGGGTAATGATCTAACTAGTTGTCTCGTAGTTACGCCATGAACAACATGTCGTTTCTATAAAATCGGGATTCAGTAAAATGTACATAACTCTCGAACGAATAACTCTCAACTCAAACCTTTTAGAGTTGCTCTTAGGGCATCATGTTACCTTTGAAAGGAATTTCATTGAAACGTAAAGGGAACATCTGAGGAAGTTTTCTAGTGAGTATGACTTTCTCTTTCTCACAAAACAAAAATTAATTTATTATTTTTTCCGTTTCATACCCAGCAAGTGATCTCCTCTCGTTGGACAAAATATATGTTTAAAATTTTTCAGTTGTTTTGTAATCTTCTAAGAAGTGAATTAGTAGTTTTATAGTGTTTTTTACAGCCAGAAAATGTAGTGATAGTGACTAAAGTCGTTCATAGTCAGTAATCAATAGTTGGCCATTTCCCGTATGGGCCAATAATTCACCAGTTGATTGTTCGGTTATTTCTCCAACTTTAGCATCACTAAAGTTGTCCTGCATGAATGTTTGTTTACTGTCCAAGCCACTCAAATTATCATAATCTTTCGGACATATTAGTAAACTTTTCAATGGTCTGATCATTTTACCATTCATCTCGAACATTGCTTTGCGCACAAGATATTCCATTGTCGCGTAATAGTCATGTTTATGCCACACTGATGTTGCTCGAATAAGACAATCGATTTCAATAGCTGGCCTTTCCCAATTTATAGTACATTGTTCCACTGTAAAAAATGAAGCGTATGAGTGTTCGCCATCATTTTGTATTTCACCCTTATATCCTTGCTGCACCAGTTGAAAAACGGTTGCCATATTGTCCATCAATATCTGTGGAACTTGCATGTAAATAGAAAAAAAGTTGTCAGTTGACGTCAGTGGTCTTGTACCTTGCAAAATAATCCTGCCTGTATCATATTTGTCATCCATGTAATGGAATGTAAATCCAAGAGTCTTCTCATTATTCAAGATTTGCCAACCAATTGGATTTGGACCACGATATTTGGGAAGCATTGATGGATGTAGATTAACGAATCCATATTTGGGTATACTTAATATCGTCTTGTTTAACCGAAAGGCAAACTGCAGAACAAGACCAATATCAGGTTGAAGAGCTGTAATTATATTCGCCAAATCACCTTTCATTGTATTCACTACTAGTGTCGGAATATTTGGATTTAAATCTTTGATACGATCTTCAAAAGCTTTTTGATGATTATTAGTAACCATTGTTGGTAATCCACGAATAGTTACAAATAATACTAATTCGTGCCCTAGTTCTTGTATTTTCTCATAAACAGCGTTAACTTTTTTACCAGGAATAGTAGAAAAATATATAATACGCATTTCTTTCAAATATTGATACACTGGTTATAATTCGTTTATATTATTCTAATAGAAGAAGAAAGACAGAATCTGAAAAGCAAGAGTACGGTTTAGTACAATAATAAACTTTAGCCACATAAAAAGTAATCTAGCATGAGCTTTTTCGCTCATTTGCATCCTTCATAAATGTGCTTTAGTATCGTGAGATTTTTTTTATTGGTTCGTCCGTTTTCTTTTAATATAAAAAAGACCGGCAAAAGACAATAGTGACTATTTTTCATAAGAAAACAAAGTATTCAGAGCTGATCATCATCATAGATGCATACATTTTACAAGATTCGTGTAAACGTGGAGAAACGATTAAGTAGAACATTGAATTGGGTTCTCTCCATGCCTTAGTCGGTTCGAGTCATATTTCTATGAGAATAATGAACTAAAAATATTTTTTAATTCTGACAGGTGCTGTTTGATTCGTAGGCTTTATATAGGCAGTAAAGTTTTGCGACGAAAGAAAGATACAAACAGGAAGTATTCAGATCAATAGGACAATAGGTAACAGAGATGTCCATAGGGCAGGGCAGCCCTGTCCTGCCCTGCTCGCCTTGCAGGGCGGTTTGAAAATTTTGCCCTGCTAATTATACATGTGGACCGTGAATTCATTAAAACAGTCTCTTTTGCTTATTAAAAAACACTAAAAAAAAACGCGATTTTACCGTCGAATAACCTCTAATGCTGTTTAATACCCTTAGTAATAGTTTCTCTTCCTTCATAACAACGAAATTTCATTGCTGTTTCAGCATTTTTAGACGTTGTCTGTAATCTACTGTACTAGACAGTTGATTTAAAGGATCTTTGAAGATAACATAAATTTTAGATGAAGTCGTACTGATCTTCAGAAGAAGTGATAGAATTCTCCTGAGATCAAAGAGCAAACAACTAGAAAAATAATAAATCCTTGTGATAGACAAGTTTTGACTCGTTTCTACATGTATTTAGTTACGTCTTCTTCTCTTTACTACTCTAAAAATTGATCCCTGTTCAGAAAAAAACTTATTTCTCATTTGAATCAAATTATTTTGTACAAAAATCAAAACGATAATACTAATCTTTAATCAATCGTCATTTTTCCCGAACGCTGATGCCGTAAGTAGTCGAATAAATAACTGTACTTCCTAAATTAATTATTAGACAACTGAACTGAAGGTATTATGTTGATTTCAAACCTAATGCTAGGTAATTCGTTTTGTCCCATAAAGTTGTTTATCGGACTTCATCTCGAATCAAGTCATACTGGAAATGAGGATCAATCGAAAATGAATAACACTAATTCTTTCATTTTAGTTTTTTGTGAGATAAATTTAATAAAACTGGTAATATTCTTTTGCTAAGTTTATTTTTACATATATGTATCGAATGCTATGCTATTTATCAGCTCTACATATGTTGAATTTTATCGATTATATTGCGCAAGATACTAACTATATAGTCATAGTTATATAATGTGTTCGCCCTGCAGGGCAGGGCAGAGGTACTGCAGAGCGCAGGGCAGGACAAAAAAGTGCCCTGTGGACATCTCTGATAGGTAAGCTCGAAGATTAAATTAGTCAAGAAACTCTCGACATTTTCTTGTTAATTGCTGGCGTTGAAACAGACTCGATCATGTTAATCTGAATGGTATAATACATGTATAACTCGAAACTAAAATTCAATTATTTGAATATTTAGTTATCATAGTTAAATATCTGAAGCGAAGGGTACATAAGGATGTGACGGGAGAGGAGGGAGGCTGCGAGGCAGCCATCGTGATGGGTCAGTGTCCCGTGAGAATGTCGAAAGTAATTGAATATTTGGATATCAGAAATAACCGTTGAATAATTGAATTCGAGTTTCGACTTTGACACTACTGTAAATATTATGAGCAAATGTATAACACAGGTTGACCCAAAAGTCACGATACCAAAATAAAAAAATGGAATATTTTCATCATCGTTCGACCAAAAAAGCTGCTTTTTTATTCAATAATAGAAGGACTTAGAAGCTTTACACTCATGGAAATATAGCTAAAACGAGCCTGCGTTAAGTGCCACAAATGGATTCAACAAAAGATTTCTCTATTTTACAAATACGTAAGAAAAAACAGCTTATGAGCGAGATAAGACAGTTTGTTCAGCTTTCATATGATATACGCATCATATTTGTGAATAAAACGTGTTCATTTCACACATATTTACTCTGTGCACTTTCTCTTTCTGCTGCACTAAAACTCATAATGCTACTTGGCAACGTATAAAGCCTGTTTTTTTTCTATCCGTAAAATCAAATAATACTTACTCATGAGACAATCACTTCTGGTGAAAAGAATGCATACGACCATGAAAACGCGTGATTCTTGGCCAAGAAATGTTCTACGGTTGTATTGCATTGATAGTCGTTGAAACGAAATCTATCAAGAATATGCTTACAGTCATATATACATATTGGCAACAACAAAAAGGTAAAGTACATCAATTTTCGCGTTCCCTCACGATCAATATGACATAATAGGATATCAGTCATTCNCTGCTGAAATTGAACAAGAAGTCAAATCGGTATTGATATATTTTCTTACATACTAAATTTATATTCTTATTCCAGAAATCTCATCAATTTCCATTTAATCATGTTATTCAACTTAATATCGGTGATGGGTTTGCTAGCGGTCATCAGATGCCTATTACATATATTCGCCAAGTTCGTTCGAGTTTTAATTAGATTTTCAAATAACAATTTAATTTATAGTTTATAGCCGGCTGTGCTCATCCAGCACTCCTGAATTCCTTTGAATTTCCATCAGATGTTAAAGAACGAGTAGAACGTTTATTGAATATATGCATTGGAAAAACTTTCGGTTCATATAGTGAAAGTCCTGGCATTAAAATAATACGACATGATATTGCCAGTTATATTCAACAAAGAGATGGACATCCGTCGGATCCGAATAACATTTACTTAAGTAACGGCGCAGCAGGCGGCATCGAAACAGTGCTTAAACTTCTTATGAATAACTCAAAGAAACCATCAGGAATTGTAGGTATAAAGTAGCGAGAAAACTTCATCAATTTGTCGTTTTTGCTAACATCGTATTTCCATAAAAATTGAATATGAGTTTGAGCCATTGCTTTTTCACTTCTATTCAGATTGCATATCGAAAGTATCCATCAGGAAAAAGGCAAAAAATTGCTACCATGCGGCTATTTTTCTTTGTTGAGGAAGTTAGGCCATAAATGAAGGTTTCGGAAATCGTTGGAAACTGCGCCTTTCGGAGTATCAGATATTTCCATTAGTCGTCTGATGGCCCCTCTATAGAAAAACCGAAGTTTCAGAACCTAACCCACATGAGTTCGTTCAAGGTGTCGCAGATCATTCTCTCTATTCTAAGAGGCGTTGTTTTCTGAGAAGCTTTGCGGGAACTTTTCCAGGTTCCATTGACGGCGCTACACAAAAAGACTTGTGTCAAAAGTCATGATAAAGTAGGACACATCCTTCTTGGAATCCTTACGCATTCACCTTTTAGTTTATAAGCCGCGTTCGTAAGCTAGTACGCTGCGTTGTCCTAAGAACACAGTTTACATCAGCGGCTTTACAAATAATTTTTTCTCTGGGTAATGGCAGTAATTATTTATCTGTTTTCATAGAACACAGACCAGAGTAAAATGTTCTTTGATTCTTGTTGGCAGCGAAATTTTCCTGCCTAAACGTGAGGTGAGAAATGTCAGATTTTGTTCTTGACCACTCTTAGATTTAAAACAAGATGGCAAGTAAGACAAACTCTCATAAATTTTAGTAGAAATAATCGGAGATATATAGTCGTCATTATCATAGTCAAGTGATTTTCAACTAACAAAGATTGTCTGACCCTAATTATCCGTCCTGAAATCTATCACCTTTTTTCACCGGTGTTCCTTGCTAAAATTCTACTATGATTTATAGTACACTGATAGGCTATCCTAAAGAAATAAAGTAAGGCAATCGGATCGATCACCTACACCTACATCTACAAGACAGAATTGATTTTGCTTTCATCCTTAGATGATTCCTGTTCCCCAATTTCCATTTTACAGTGCTATTTTAACGCAATTTGGAGCTCATCAAATTGAGTATTTTCTCGACGAAGATAACGGTTGGGCATTGCATATAGATGAACTAGAGCGTGCGTTAAATGAGTCAAAAGCTAGATGTATACCACGTGGTATTGTAATTATTAATCCTGGAAATCCTACNCCCACATTAAGAGTATATAAAGGGGGGGGGAACAAATGTCTTGCGAACAAAAACAAAACAAGCAACGCGGCCTAGTAGGCGCTAATACCTGTCCAAAGAGAGAAAAAAGATATTTCAGTTGAACAATCTGATCTTTTGATAATTTGTCAGAATGTTTGACTTAGACCAATTTCACTTCCTGAAATCTTCTGAAATTAACGCCTAGTCATTTGTCGGGCTTCTTTCGGACGAAGACGTGATACAGAAATGAGCTCATTTCGGAGAATCAATTCATAATCGAAAATTTAGAAACGTGACATAAGTATATCATTCTCTGGAAAAGGCTTCATTCTTCTCTTCACCACGACGAACTTTAAAGAGCTGCCAGCTATGTTCGTGCAGATCATATCGACTAAGTTCTAGATCCAAGAAATCTAAAAGCTATATGAAAACCACAAAATTCGCTCTTTAAAATATTATTCTTCAAATCGACGACTGGTCGTTACATGTACATTTTTGTTCTTTCATCTAATCTAGAACCACTTTCGAAACTAATCAATCCATTTCCTTTTGGCCCTTCTTAAAAAGTCACCACTTTTGTTTTACTATGGCTATCGAAGACAACACTTGACAAAGGAAACACTATTTTGATTGACTTGCACCAAGTGATATATGCACAATATAGCTATCTATACAAGTTTGTGATCTCATTAATATGCCGACAGCACTCGGACTTCAATCAGCGATTAGATTTTGTTCTACATACTGCCGCTTAGAACATTATCGGCTACAAAAATTGATCCTTTGTCGCAAAAAAACGCGACAGAAAGTTTTTATGAAAAACTTAACAGCGAATTCGAGATCCTCGACCTCGATTACTCGTTAGTCAATCTTTCTCTCGTCGTTCACTCACACCTAGCCATCTCTATGCCTACTCTCAACATATAATTCCTTGTTGTCTTCATCCAAAACAACCGTGCGAATCGACTTTCAATTTGTCCAACAGATATACGAAAAAAGTCCCGACGAGAATTGGTCGAAGCTAATTTGTAGATGCGAAAATCAGTTTAATTGAGACAAATCGTCTTAATTGAAAATGCAATATGAATTTGAGATTCTTTTTTATGATACAATCATCTAAATAAAACATTAGCGCGGCGCAGTACCTGTTAACTCAGCACTGAAACAATATCATCAGACCTCTATTATTCTTCAAAAGAAATAAATAAAAATTATTTCATTTGAATGGTCCAGCCATTCTGTCATTTGTTATAGTCTATTATTCATACTTATTTTGCTTCCTCAGATCTCATCAAACTAACGCCTAGTCGTTCGTCGGTCTCCCTCCGATGTGCCACCCACGGCTAGCCATTGACATATCATAAATTTCTATGATATTTTCGTACTGAGCCCGTCTGGAATTGCAGTTATTAAAACTATTCGTGATTGTATGGTTTAGAGTCCTTATTGTATATTCGCTTCAATTTAAGGAGCTGATAATCTGCAGAGCTTATTCTCAAAGTTCGAAGAGATATAAATATAGTCCTTTGAAAAATCATTGGCACTGACTAGGACTCTTAAAAACCTCATCTTTCAAGTAACTTTCAAAAGAGACGCTTCCATTATGCCTTTCATTTGTTATTAGCTGTCAAATTGAAAACTACTTTTCTTTTCATTATTGCTTCCACAGCGGCGATCTTCTATTATTTGACTATCTAAAGAAACAAGATAAAAATTTTTATGCTTTACCATGAAAAGGGCACCCATCATAGCGCTTCATATGATTAGAATACTATTTGTATAGTCGACGCCGCTGTAGATAATAAGATGGAATTATAGTGACAAACTAGGGGTGCCACTATGGCATTTCATTCTAAAGAATGCGAACGCAGCCCGCGTTTCCATTCATAGAACAGGAATGTCACGAAAAACGTATTCTGCTGACTGTTTATCGGTTCATAAAGCAATGAAATATAACTTTGTCTGCCAATAAGAAGGAAATCTCTGTGTCGTTCCCATTCCCAGAACGAGGAACGAACAACGTTTTCACTTAGTACTGTTTACAATCGTATATCAAAAGTATAACTACGCGTAAAAATTGCTTTGGGATGAATGATGAAATCCTTTCCATTCCCAGGAACGAAACTCTACGGAACTGGGAACGCTGACACCCTTATGACAAACATACCTTATTGCAACATATGTCTGCTGAAATCCTATCGAAAGGTCTGGTTATCGCAGCTAACACCGCAATAACTATATTAAACTCTACCGCTTCTTCTCAGTCGTTGAATTACAAATGTTATAATGTAGAATATACTAAATCTTTTTATGTAAACTCCTAAACTACTATCTTCACACACGGCACATACATGAATAACGTTTAAACCACTACCGTCTACAAAAGATTTCGCAAAACATACAGCAAAAGGCCTCTTTTGGAAAGTGAAAGGAGAAAGCCGAAGCTTAGTGGATGCGAAAAAACTAACCTCAGATTCGAGTTCCACAACCTCGATTACCCCATCAGTAGTGAATCGCTGATGACTACCAATAAATTGCATTGATTTCATGAGTGCTGATTTCTGCTTGAATAGGGCAGACAGACAAATTTTAAGCTTTTTTAGCCTAGGATTTAACCGCTATATAACCCTTTCTTTCAGAAAAGGCGAGAATTGAACACTGGAATAGTGGAATACTTGAATTCAACTTTCAGTTTTGACAATACTGCTGAGTTCTAAGCATTTAAACTTACCTTCTGACTAACTCATCTAGTGCCGCATTCGTCAACTCTTCCTTGTCCCCACGACCACACCCACACTTCTATTTTTCTTTAATTCACAAAATCTCACACATTCATAAAACTGAAAACATGCTCCATGTGTTCGTACATGTCTTTGTTTCTTGTCTTCGTCACTTGCATAGCAGTCACATTGAAGAGGACAATCGTGACACTCATAGGATGTGCATGTTTATGGGATTTCCAAATGTTATGACTCGCGATTCACAACGTTCTGTACATAGTTGCCAACATCATAATCAGAGTGGCAGATGCAACGTTGAATAATATAGCTTCGCCCAGAAACGCGAATCGGCAATGAACGACTCTGCAGTGGTTGTGTATGACGCACCATAATGGAACTTGTGCCGCTGTTGGAAAAGTTTTATTTTCATTCATCATCTACTTGCATGCCAAATGCATTCACACACGATCGAGGCATTTTTCCATTCACTCATCTTTCCAATATATTTCAGCGAAGCGATAAAACGGGAACTGAGAGAAGAAGAAGAAGAAGAAGAAGTTGTTCCGGTTCAAGTCATGCTAAATCATAGCATTATCCCAACTTCGGCTGCCCGAAATTGTACGCGAAACAACGGGGAAAAGGTTTCACATACCTGTAAATAAACAGCTTTTCACGCACGTGATTGATCTTGAATGGAGATCGTATTCGCAAAAATAATTGTCAATTGAGTGGGTTATACGATGCCCATTAGAAAGACTGAGCAGCAATCTGGGAAGTAGTTGCCGATCGAACAGCTTTACTAGATACAAAATGTAGTGTGTACTTAATGATAACTATTTCTAATACTGTGCCATACTTGTTTAATTAACTACTGTTTGTCCCCACGTCTGGAGTATTATATCTCTTTCACATGAGCAGAGCACTGGCAGTGTGGAACCACTTTCATACGCAGTTGAATAAAATATTGTGATGCAGTCATCGTCTCTGAAGTTGGTGCTCTTTCCGAAGCAGAATGAACCTCATTATTGATATTTAACGTTTGCGAAAGATGCGAGCGCTTTTGATATCAACTGGCTCTTGAAGAGTTTAGTTGAAAAATAACATAAGTTCCATGTGCACAGTCATCCTAGTGGCGTTGAACAATGGTCGACTTCGAGTGATTGACTTTTTTCGTTGGAACAATATGAGACGATGTTGGTATTTAGTGCTTTTCGCGAGGGGCCTATTTGTTATGGCTACCGTGTTACTTCGTTTTCGCTTGTGTCAGTTACTTCGAATGCAATCTTCGTATTATCTACCTTTGTCCTCAGCGCTCACTCATAGGCAATGATGCGGATGGTTGATTGCTTTTGCTTTGTATCAGCCGTTTGCTTATACATAACAAAAAATATTTGGTAAATAAAACTCCACGTGGCGAAAAAAGTGGAGAAATTAAAGGACTACTGAATAACGGTTAACTTTTGTAGCTTTTTCATCCATAAAAAAAAAAAATTTGAATTATCTTCACAAACCTGTATGTTGATCGAATTTCCGAACCATCGCTTTTAGGTCAATACAGTAAAAAGTAAAGAAGGATGAAAGACATCTTTTAACATATAGCTAGTTCTTTTTTTGTGTGCTCAAAAGGAAGTCGATTCACTCACTAAGCTTTGGAAGATTTATTTTTGCAAAGGAAACATATCTAAGCAGGTTTCTAAATACGCTTTTTCACGTTGACAATGAATCTGTCCCCAGTTTCGTAAAAGACATGTTGTACACATGCCTGTATCACTCAACAAGAAAGTTTCTGTAGAAAGTGCATTGAGCATTTAGACCATCTAGATTATATGAGGTACACCAAAATGGCTGATAAAAAGCTATATTCTATCAGGTCGGCTAGTTTTTTGTATGTGTTACCCAAAGAAAACCAAGTGGAAGATCTACTTTTTACAACTGTGCAGCTTGCAAGTAGCTGTACCGAGTACATGTTTGTCGAATTATCTTGCGATCAACAGTTTCGCAATCAAGCGAATTTTCCAAAAACTCGGAAGATCGTGAAAAGTAAATCACTTTCATAGTATAGCTAGAGTTTGACGCGCTGCATCAATTGGAGTTTGAACAAAGTGTTCGATGGATAAGTCCATTATGTCATGCGTTGAAGTTTTCCTTCACACATGTTTAGCACATGCCGAGATTATCCAGTGTACACACTTATATATTTAGGGTATACCAAAAGTAGAGAGAGTTGTCCTGTAATTTGTTACCAAAATCTTTAAGAAACTTTCTCTCATATAGCCTGATAGAGGAAAAAATGCTTTATTTTCTTATGCTATTTGATCTACTTCAACTAAAATTATAAAAACAAAATTCTGGTAAAATCTGTTTTTTCGGATCTCTAACGGTTACTGTGAAAATCATCTTGATGATGGTGAATGAGTTTTTTCTGAATAACTTTTGGTGGAAACAAGATAGATAGCTGTGGTTTTCATCATTGAAAAGAGCGGACGAAAATGCATCGAACCGCACATTGTAGAATTTTCTGACATGATTCTTACACTGTTTTCAATTGATGTTTTTAGAAACAAATCTATTTCATAAGCTGTTTACCATAAAATTTCAATAATCATGTGCACGTTCAAATCGCTAATCGACACACTACGAATAGTGAAAAGCGAAGAAGAAAAATACGTATTCTAGCCGAGCATCAACTATGCTTTTCTAACAATTTTCGTGAGAAGTGTTCACTTTTGTACATTTTCCTTTTTTCGCAAAAAAGTTCATTTTTTCAATAGATACAAAAAATGAATATGAATAATTCAGAATCAATATTAGAAAAACTTATCATGTATGATTAGATGCATTTCCATCTCTGGTTTCCAATGATAGAAGCCGCAGTGTTGTGTCGTGTTTCTATCGAAAGCTACTCGAAAAATACTCGTTAGGATGTGCCTGACCGTCAGAGATGCGAAAAAACAGATTTTATGCTAATTTCAAATTATGATATATTTTATATGCTTGTAATAACACTAGACTCGTAGGAAACCATTGATTTACATAAAAATCAATCTTTGAGTTTCACATTATTGTTTTTCATCGGATCATTTTAGCAAATGACTATGAGATATGTGAATAATAGTTGTTTTACCTCTAGTTCTTTTTTAATGAAAAACGATTGGCATGCAGGGACTCGCTTAACTAGTTTTTACAGAGTTACTGATTTTTGGTAGCAACGAAGTATTTCTAATATCTATATTATTCATATTTCATTCTTTCACGCCGATTCACATTGAAACATTCAATCGTTCAAAATGATGTCGGGTTTGAAATTTCGTTCTTTTTACTAGCTCCTCTAAACTTTTATAAAAAATACTAGTAGATAACAGTCACTTGATAGCTGAACTTTACATAACTGAAGAAAACCAATCTCGGATTTACATTCCTCGACCCCAAAAGCCTTTGACCAAATTTTGTCGAAAAACGTTGTTCGTACAAAATTGAACCTTTGTCTAAATAGCTAGCATCAGATTCGAAGTCTCCGCATCGAAATACCACTGGAAATGTCGTCTCCGGAAAAAAAAAATCGATTTTCGATGTTTTTGTTTTTACCCTGCGGACACACAGGCAAGCAAACAATTTATCTCTACTGGCCTGTTCTCTACGAGAAAGAGAATAAGTTGAGTTAAACCATGACGTTCTAATATTTTAACAGTCCCACTTTCAAGCGGAATTTAGAAATGGTGAAAATCGAATTCTTTTAAAATAAAACCTTTTCTTTTCTTGATATCTTGCGTCTGTCAAGATCAGATTGGTGAAAAGTTATTTCTGACCAAAAATATTTCATTGTTTGCAAAGGCTTTGCATCTGTTGCGAAAATATTTTCCTCATTTGTTTAATTTCTATATTACAAGCAGATTTCAGTTAAATTAGCAAAATCTACATAGTCGTTCTCGTCTCACTCACCTTGGCACAATTAATCAATCACCCGATTAAATCTGGTCCTCTGGTATATTCGGCAAAAATAGCGAAAAATGCACGTATTTCTGTAAAAGTCGTAGTAAAAAGGTTAACAACACCCACACTCAGTTGAATCGAATTCAGTATCTAACCCGTATAGTTTCACTTTTCTGTCGAATGAATCTTCGATGACAATCACCCACTGAAGAATTTGTTTAGTAGGATCTTTGATACAAAACTCGTCGAGATTGTCGTCGTCATGAATGGAATAGCACGTATTGTACTCCACATGCCATTCGCCATTGCCAACAAATCGATGTATGCCAGCGTTATAAAATGGATTTCCCGGCTTTGTGTCATAAAAACGTTTTTCAGTCACGTACACTTTGCCCATGTCAATCTCGGCAATGAACCAAGCACCGAACCCGCCGTTTCGACCCACTTTCACATTAGTGCCATCAAGTGATCGAGCGAAATACGTACCAGGCCCCAACATGCCACTGATGCTAGGAATAAATTCACTTTTAGCAATGCTCACTGCTGCTTGAGGAGTTGTTTGATGAAAACCAATGTAGGTAAGGCCAGACTTCGATTTCTTGACTGTATTCACTGAGGGTTCAGGCTTGTGTAGATCGGACCAACGTGGCTGTGGTTTATAACTGCTATAATGAAATGTAGCAATATGTTCGAGACTTCGCTCCAAACATGGATGATCTGTGCATGAACGATCTCCCCAATGTTGCTCATTTCGATACTCTGCAATCAGAATGTACGGCAAATAACGACGATGTTTGCGTGAGCGACAACAACAACAGGTTTTGTCATCGAAGGGAGTATAATGCCACCAGACACAGTAATGATACACATCAATCAAGAATGTACTAAACAGACATAAGATGGTGAAAGCACAAACAGTTGCCAGGTCATTGGCACGATTGGACGAACTTGAGACTGATGTATACAATGCTATAGCAATGATTTTTAGTGTGAAAACAACACAGAGAAATCCAAAGCGTACAAAGAAACGTAGTTTCGGTCGAGGCTTGTAACACGGACAATTGCAGTCCAAAGCAACTATTCGACGGAGTGCTCTATTGCGCCAAACTTTTCTTAACCATCCACTTGTGTTAATGTCATCGACGCATGATCGCTGAGAGTGACTTTGAAGGCAATAAATGAGCATTTTCAACATGACAACAATGATAAGTAGGGCGATGAACAGACCCATACATGTAGGAACAATAGAACTGATCCAATCGAGGGCAAATGCAGCTGCATATTTGGAATCATACGTTTGTACTTTCTTCGTATCTGGCAATGCCGAAAAGTATCCAACCAGTCGCCCGATCCCGCAGAGGAGCTCGAAAATAGCAATAAAAGCATGTAGATGTGGCAACCCTTTGTACAACAACGGGAAATGGCAACAACATGTACCCATGATGAAAAAATGAATAGAATTATAATATATATTCTTCCTTATTGTTTTTTCCTGCTTGGAAAAAACCAAGATGTCATAGCTACTCTGCTTTGCTTGATTACTTTCAGGAAGAAAAAAGAACAGAAATAGCAATGAAGAACAAGTTTATTTTTTCCACCTTTTCATTTTCATTTCAAGAATATGATTCTTTACAGTTTGTTTGATGGTTAGGCATTGTTTACTGTCACGTTTGTCATACTCAATTAGCATATTTCCAAACTAATTCTTTCAATTCACATCTTCTGCGTATGCGTGTTATTTTCCTATCAATAAAATTCTCTTTGCCAAATTGGATAAGGATTACCTTTCACTGTTAAACTTGGTTTAATAGTATGAAAACTGTTGAGGAATAACTCTTGCAAATATTTCCCGTTATATCTTCATCTCTGTATGATATATTTTACTTTGTGCTTTAATACCGACTGCTCTTCGTCTGGAAAGGTTATCCAGTAAGAACGCGCGTTACGTGTCCGAGTACTTTGACGTTTCTACTTTTGTTGTTTACAAAGGTTCTCTAAGAATGAGATATTGGGGGATTTATTTATTCTACAGCAGAGAAGATCTTAGAGGCAGAGATTCGTTTGTTTGCCATAAACAAAACCATACAAAAGAAAAGACATGATAACGATGATTATGATTTCTCACTTTCAATTAGATTCGCCCGTCTCAGTTGGAATAAAATTGTAAATTTACTTCGTATCTGTTTATGTTTTGACAAATAGCAAATGGCATAAGCATCGGGAGAAAATAATTGAGTAAATTCGTGTAATAATAAGGCGTTTCATTAAACCAAGGGTAATTCACACTGAGCATTCCAACAGTTATGAATGAAAGATTAAACGTTTAAAATATGAAAGCAATTGGAAATAATTGAAGAAACAATTTTCGAGTTCTTTTCCGTATTTCTCGTTGTATCGAATGTCGATTTATTCTATATTTGTGATAAATAATAACATGTAGTGTAATGGTACAGAGAAAGAGAATAACTAAGAATGCTGGTAATAAATTCGCTATCAGCCAATCAATATTTTGTATAATTGAATCGTCAGCTGTTTCATAACACGATGCACCATAAATATTTTCTGTATAACCAAAACTATCTTGTTCACGTGGATAAAGCAATACTAAATGAACATACCAAAGAAAACAAAAGAGTACGATGACCAAAGCGGATACATAGTAAAGAAGAATACGTAACAACTGATTTGGGATGATGATTCGTTGGGAAAAGATCATTAGATATCGTTCGAAACAAGCAAGAGTCATTAGCCAGAGAGTTAATGAGTAGAAGATGTAATCACATAGGATCCAAACGATAAAGTAAGTGTTCCGATCGTTCAATGACTCAACATATTGGTAGTTGTAGAAATGATTATCATTGAAATATCCGTTGTGTTTGTTAGAAAAAATGTGACTAGTAAGTAAATGATCACTTTGTTGAAATGATTTTTGTGAAGTTGTTTACGTAAATGAATGAAATAGTTGAAAAGCAATAAACTGCATAGAACTGATGGAATGTCAGTGAAAAGGAATATATAGAAGGTGATTTCTCTGGAAATTGCTGTTTCTTACTGTGGTTCCGTGTCATTTGAGGAATCGTCTTCCATTTGTAGTAAGAGCAAGAGTGAGAATGCATTTTCTTTTACTAAGTACACGTAAAAGTACGCGGACCATTCTGTTATTAATCTTCATATTATTACAGAAAATAGAAACGAAGTACATGAAGATTTATGACAGATAGACGGAGAAAGTAATCCCGATTTTGCCGTGAAATGTAGTAATGAATCTCTAATTTTGACGCCCGGGAATAATGTAACACCATATGAGGTTAGAGTTTAGCTCATCTGTAGTTTACGTGTAGTGAAGAAAATGCATTTCCTCGAACTGAGAAGTATTGAAATATGAACTTGAACAGTTCTTGTATCCTACTGTCTAAGTGTACTCCATAATAGACACTTTCGCAGACATGAATCTCTTCGTCGTTCTGTCACTTGTTCCCATTACAGATTAGCACACGTAAGATTCTTTTTCAACGAATTTTCAATTACAGTTTCCTCGATTTTATGGCAGAAATATATCAATTCTTGATTAATACAAAACTTATTATATAAAGGCCACTAGTAGCAGAAGGATATTTTTTTATACTATGTCAAAATACACTCATCGTAACGACTAGGAATTAAAGCTATTTTATGTGCATGAAATTGTCAAGTCCGTCACATAACAATCACGCTTTTGACGTCTTTGGCAGACTTTCTATTGTAAAATTTCCGACAATATCAACAGTTATTTGAAGCATCAGAAAAGAAAGGTCACATTCTGTCATCTGAACGATTCTTGTCAGAAAAAGAATAAAATAAGATTGGAAAATATATCGTTCTATTCTAGATATAAATTTGTCACGAGATATTTCTATTATCTTTTCCATCTTGATGTGATTAAAAGTGGCAAGCACTTCATATGCAATTATTTTCCGTAGGCTTCTTTCCAATGTGCTGCATCATTTTATTTATTGCCGAGAAGAAGCGAAAGAGGCACCATCCGATGTCGACTGTCATTCTCTTATTGTTGAGTCTATCCTCCGTTGATCTTTCCTACCAAGATCAATCAACAGCTCGCTTAAGTAATTTCGGTTATACTTTCACCTCATACAGCAGTGCAAGCACTCCTCTTCTCACGCTCGCTCAAGGCAGCATTCTCCGATGTCACATGCAATGCAATCAAAGAATCGCCTGTCGACTATTCGATTACGATTCAGACACAAACCAATGTCGACTCTGGTCAGATGATCTGACGACAGGTATGATCTCTCTGGCTATTGCATCGAAGCCGCAATCCAGAGTTGGTGTCATTCGAATCGCACCAGATATATACACTCCTATTCACAATCAACCGTGTGACAAATGTGCTGATAGTCGATATGTAGAGTGTGATCCACTCTCCCTCACTTTTTGTCAGTGTCCACCGATGACATTCTGGGATGGAAGTGTGTGTTCACCTCAACGATACTTGAATCAATCGTGTGCAATCATTGACAGTTGCCGATCGGATCTTGCACTGGAATGTCGAGATGTTGGATGTAATTCTGTATTTCAATGCTTGAATCAAACAAATGTTGTGACAGTAGCTGGTTTTTGTAAGGTACGCAGGAATTTCGGCCCCAGGATTTTTCGGCCCAAACTTTCGGCCCTAATTTATTATTAAACGTATTTAATTAGTTATTAATTATTAGTTGCATAGTGCTGAGCAGTATGAATTTCAAAACGTCAACTTGCTGAGCACTATGACACACTGCCGAGCGGTGTGAATATTGAGAGATTTCGTCCTGCTTAGCGGTGTGTCATGATGCCGAGCGGTATGACAGAGTGCTGAGCGGTATGAATATTGAGAGATTTCGTCCTGCTTAGCGGTGTGTCATGATGCCGAGCGGTATGACAGAGTGCTGAGCGGTATGAATATTGAGAGATTTCGTCCTGCTTAGCGGTGTGTCATGATGCCGAGCGGTATGACAGAGTGCTGAGCGGTATGAATATTGAGAGATTTCGTCCTGCTTAGCGGTGTGTCATGATGCCGAGCGNCACTTGACAAAGCAAACATTATTTTGAGTGACTTGAACTGGATGATATTTGTACAATATAGCTATCTATCCAAGTTTGTGGTCTCATTAATATGGCGAGAGCACTCGGACTGCAATCAGCTATTAGATTTTGTTCTACATACTGCCGCTTAGAACACTATCGACTACAAAAAGTGATCCTTTGTCGTAAAAAACGCGACAGAAAATTTTTATGAAAAAACTAACAGCGAGTTCGAGATCCTCAACCTCGATTACTCGTTGGTCAATCTTTCTCTCGTCGTTCACTCACACCTAGCCATCTCTATGCCTACTCTCAACATATAATTCCTTGTTGTCTTCATCCAAAACAACCGTGCGAATTGACTTTCAATTTGTCCAACAGATGTACGAAAAAAGACCCGACGAGAATTGGTCGAAGTTAATTTGTAGATGCGAAAATCAGTTTAATTCAGACAAATCGTCTTAATTGAAAATGCAATATGAATTTGAGATTCTTTTTTATGATACAATCATCTAAATAAAACATTAGCGCGGCGCAATACCTGCTAACTCAGCACTGAAACAATATCATCGGACCTCTATTATTCTTCAAAATGAATAAATAAATATTATTTCATTTGAATGGTCCAATCATTTGGTCTTTTATTATAGTCTATTAGTCATACTTATTTTGCTTCCTCAGATCTCACCAAACTAACGCCTAGTCGTTTGTCGGTCTCCCTCCGATGTGTCACTCACGTCTAGCCATTGACATATCATAAATTTCTATGATATTTTCGTACTGAGCCCGTCTGAAATTGCAGTCATTAAAACTATTCGTGACTGTATGGTTTGGAGTCCTTATTTTATTGTTTGTTTCAATTTAAGAAGCTGATAATCTGCAGAGCTTATTCTCAAAGTTCGAAGAGACATAAATATAGCCCTTTGAAAAATCATTGGCACTGACTAGGACTCTTAAAAACCTCATCTTTCAAGGAACTTTCGAAAGAGACGCTTCTATTATGCCTTTCATTTGTTATCAGCTGTCAAATTGAATAACTACTTTTCTTTTCACTATTCCTTCCACAGCGACGACCTTCTATTATTTGACTACCCAAAGAAACAAGATAGAAATGTTTATGCTTTACCATGAAAAGAGCATCCATCATAGCGCTTCATATGATTAGAATATTATTTGTATAGTCGACGCCTCTGTAGATAATAAGATGGAAGTGTAGTGATAAACTAGGGGTGCCACTTTGGCATTTCATTCTAAAGAATGCGAACGCAGCCCGCTTTTCCATTCATAGAACAGGAATGGCACGAAAAACGTATTCTGCTGACTGTTTATCGGTTCATAAAGCAATGAAATATAACGTTGTCTGCCAATAAGAAGGAAATTGCTGTGGGATGAATGATGAAATCCGTTCCATTTCCACGAACGAAACTCTACGGAACGAGGAACACTGACACCCCTATGACAAACATACCGTATTGCAACATATGTCTGCCGAAATCCTATCGAAAGGTCTTATGTATCGCAGCTAACACCGCAATAACTATATTAAACTATATCGCTTCTTCTCAGTCGTAGAATTACAAATGTCATAATGTAGAATATACTAAATCTTTTTATGTAAACTCCTGAGCTACTATCTTCACACACGGCACATACATGAATAACGTTTAGCCCACTACCGTCTACAAAAGATATCATACAGAAAAAGGCCTCTTTTGGAAAGAGAAAGGAAGAAGCCGAAGCTTAGTGGATACGAAAAAAACTAACCTCAGATTCAAGTTCCACAACCTCGATTACCCCATCAGTAGTGAATCCCTGATGACTACCAATAAATTACATTGATTTCATGAATGCTGATTTCTGCTTGAATAGGGCAGACAGACAAACTTTAAGCCTTTTTAGCCTAGGATTTAACCGCTATATAACCCTTTCTTTCAGAAAATGCGAGAATTGAACACTATAATAGTGGAATACTTGAATTCAACTTTCAGTTTTGACAATACTGCTGAGTTCTAAGCATTTAAACTTACCTTCTGACTGACTTGTCTAGTTCCGCATTCGTCAACCCTTCCTTGTCCCCACGGCCACCCCCACACTTCTATTTTTCTTTATTTCTCAAAATCTGATGCATTCATAAAACGAAAAATATGCTCTATGTGTTCGTCGCTTGTATGCCGATCACATCGAAGANTGCTGAGCGGTGTGAATGTTGAGAGATTTCGTCCTGCTTAGCGGTGTGTCATGATGCCGAGCGGTATGACAGAGTGCTGAGCGGTATGAATATTGAGAGATTTCGTCCTGCTTAGCGGTGTGACATGATGCCGAGCGGTATGAATATTGAGAAATTTCGTTCTCTTTAGCGATGTGTCATGATTTTCAGTAAGATATTGTAACTCAATATGAGATTTTTTTATCGAAGATATGATACTTTTATTGAAATTGCCATATATTTGTGGGAAATAAATGGCCGAAAAAGATAAAAATGCAAAACCACGTATATTAATCCTTATATTGTGCTTTTGAGTAGTATCATATTAATGAATTAATGCTTATTAGCTTCGAACCAGCGATGTGAAGCGAGTATATGTATTGCTGGTAGGAGAATGCCTGATCATCGACAATTCTTTAAATTTATCTTAAGAGTTTTGCAGTTATATTTAAAACGAACAACAAAGCGGATGGAGATGGCATTGAATTTCACTTGCAGTAATATATCTGCAGTCTTGTACTAATCAGAATCGAGCGGTTTCACACAAACTTTGTAATATGATTGCGTCAGTAAAGCATGCGTATGATTTATTAGACAAAATGGGTGCGTGAAGAATGTGTTTCATCTGTGAAATATTTTGGAAACTTATTATCGATTTCAACATGTTTATAAACTAAGATGCATTTTATGTGGACATCTTTTCGGTTGTGTTTATTCTGCCTTCTTGGCAACGTGTTTTGAACTCAATCATTTGTACTTCTCGCCGTTCTATACCCTATTCTTGACTGCTGTTTCACGTGTCTGTCGTGTATAGTCATGGACGAAACGGGCGTCTGATCTTTCTTTCTTTTCCTTCACTCGTGTATTTTCTTCTTTGTTTTCTTTAAAGAGAAATGAAATCTTCTGTGTTCGATAATATATGTATCCAGGTACCGATTGCATGTGATCACATTTAATCGAATATTCTCTTTGTTTTGTGATATCACTCGATTTTCCCACTCTGTTTCTCTTGTTATTCGCACTATTTATAGCCCTTTCCTCTTATATTCCTCGTGGTTATTACAGAAGTTAATTGTAGTTATAATTTCAATTTCATAAGAAGAATAAAAGCCACCATCTGCTGACCGATAGCTTACGTTTACAATTAGCAGTAAGAAAAGAATGTTTAAATGTATTAATGTTTATTCATTATACTAGGCTTTCAATAACATCATGAATCGGACTTCTTCTTCCGTCACATCGACATTATCGATGACTACTGCCTTCTTGTCCACAATCGACGATGAGAACGAAGTTTTAGATCAAGTACAGGTGCATTATACAACTGATGAATCTGACGATAGTAGTTCAGATTCTCGATCGGAATTGGATGAAATCGATGATGATTGTCATGGAGTTACTGATAAAACCCATGTTACTTATGGATCAACCAATAGAGGTGGTCGAGAGTTATACATGAATGGATATTCATACCAAGTGAAAACAGTAAATACAATGACAACTCGGTGGAGATGTACGGTTCGTACACCACTTTGTGGAGCTAGCATTTACACAAATAACATCGATAACACTTTTTCTCGTTGGAATGGAGTTTATCATAGCCACGTACCAGATGAAAATCGTGAATTAATTAGAGAAATCATAGCGAAGATCAAAGCAAGAGTCTTATCGGAACCATATCCAGTTATGATGATAGCGGAAGAAGAAATTCGAAATGCCAAACTGGACAAAACACAATTAGCAGCTATGCCACTTCCATGTCAGTTAGGTATGTTATGTCTGTACCTTGTATAAATGTTCCACAGATGTGCTTCTGACTCTGTAGAATCGGCACTGCAAAAACACCGGCGTAAAACTGTTCCAGCACTTCCAAAGTCATTGATTTTCGAAATTCCATCGCTTTATCAACATACATGGTCAGGTGGTCAATTTATTTTAGCTGATGTACTCAAGGAACGCGGTGATGAACGTCTGATAATGTTCAGTTCAGATGAACAGATCGAGTTGCTGTTAAACAGTTCGACATGGTTTTGTGATGGCACGTTCAAAACGAGGCCAGCTTTGTTTGAACAAGTGTATATAATACAATGTTTAACTGGGGATCAAGATATACGAAAAATTGATTGCTATTTGTTATTGCAATGGAATGACTTTTGTGCTTTTTCTATTCGAAGTCTTACCGGTGGTATATGCTTTAACATCTAATCGTAAAAGCAGAACGTACGAGGAAATGATTCGCATTGTCATTAACCTAGCAGCTAGTCGAGGAAGAAGCTTGGCAGTCAATACAATTGTGTCTGATTACGAAGATGCCTGGTTATGCGCAGTGAAGAATACAGTAAATATGAGCTTTAACATTGGGCCGAAAAACTCCATCGAATTCATCTTAAACGAAATGGTTTTCATTCTTTCATTTAGTTGCCAAACGTATGTCGACAGGGGTGTTGGTTCCACTTTACCCAGTGTTGCTATCGAAACATCCAAAAGTTAGGACTGTCCATTTTATACGACAACGAACCAGAAGTTAAATTAACGTTAAGAAAATTTCTTGCGCTGGCCTTGCTTCCACATGATCAAATCAAAAGATGCTTCAAACTCTTGTGCAAGAGCATAGATTCTCGATTGAAACCTTTCATCCGATACTTCAAAAACCAATGGATGAACGAAATGGGTCCACACCTTTGGTGTGTTGGCGATTCGGAAATCAGGACAAACAATAGCTCAGAAGGTATTTAATAAATCTGTAGTGAAACTGAATACTGATGATAACCTGCATTTTTATTTTTAGCCTACAATCGACGCTTCAAGAGCCGAATGATAAGCACACATCCAAATATATGGAAGTTTATTCACACGTTGAAGAACGAGGAGCATCATATGATTCACAAAAATATCCATTATTTGATCGGAAGCAGATTCGGCTTCGCATCTTCAGCACGTAAGCGTGCCAAGAAAACATTGAAAAAAAGTTTTCAGATAAAAAGATTACACCAATTATATGCTGAAGGAAAGAAGACATTGGAAGAATTAATCTTCGGATTGTCATTTCTAGTCGGTGAACCGGTTTCAAAGAAAAGCAAAAAAAACAAGGAATCGAAACCGGGCGAATGGAATATTTAAATCAATTCAATTATTTTATTGTCCATATGTAAATGAATGAAAGAATCATGATAACTTTCTCTGTGAATGTAGTGTACTTGCTCATGTGTTCTGTAGAATATGGAAGTGATGGTTATTTGTTTTCTTTTCTTATTTATCAAACATGAATATTATTCCTACGTTTGCTTTCAGATAAAAATATTTACAATTCGTTGCGTTTTGCTGTGTAATCATTCATTTAATTAAATCTTATTGATAGTCTTGAAAGACTCAACAACATGGTTCGATGGCGTTTTAGTTTTGGTGAATTGAAGAATATCGGTGAGTAGATATTTATTTACTTATCTTTCTCACCACTGGTAGCCGCTTTTCAACTTCTGTTTCGTTATATTCTATAGATGGACTCATCGTTAAGTGTTTGAATAGCATTCCACAATACAGTCAAGCGTATCCGGCGGCCAAATTCGATGTATCTGCATCTCTTGAACGTATGGTAGAAAACGGATTTCGTTCCAATGAAAATATCGTATGGCACAAAATCACTCATGGCCAAAGGAGATATTATTTGTTGAAATCATTAAATGGTGATGGAGAGGTTCATGTCAAGATTGGCCATGGTGTATTTGGAAAAGCCGGTAAGAGTTTTTTCTTAAATCTTCAAGCAGCAATACTTCCAGTAGAGGAATCACGTTTATCCATATTTTTCGTTGTAGATCGTGATCTAAAAATATTAAAGTCAAGAGACGAGTGCCAAAGGGTTATTCGACAGTTTTTAGTCCGTTGGAATGAAAATGGTTCTTTACCCGGATGGAAAACAATATGGTCGGTGTTTGATGTTGCCAATTATGACGTAAGCGAAAGACGAATCAAACTCATTCACAAGATTATTCAAGATAATGTTATACGAGAATTAATACATACAGATAATGGTGAAGACCAGAGTGTTCAGTAAGTGTTTGCAAAATTCATAACTGTTAAATGCATAGACGACGATGTCATTTTCTTCTGGTCTTTTGAAGATCAACCTTTGATCAATCAATAAATCAGAATGATTTAGATGACCACGATGAACAAAATGAAAGTTATAACGTCCAACAATTATTGCTTTCCAGTGAAGATGATAGGTAAGAAACACGCTCTTTTCAACCTCTAAGTCATTTGTGAACTTTCATCTCGTCTCGCTTCCATATGTTGAGTATTTGATTTGCCAGAATCGAATCAATGAGCTTTGTTGTCTTTATTCATTTTTTTTAAATTTTATTCCAGACAAATTCAATCACCATTAAGTCGTCGTTCAATATCATCGTCGGTTATCAATGACTCAACAAGTGAATTAGAAAACACGGATAGCGCAAAAGCAACAGATTTAGCATTTGCAAAGCTTACACCAACTCGATTAACATCGCCATCATCATCACCGAAGTATGGACAACGAAATATGACCGCCTGTATCGGTTTAGACGATTCGAATAAAGAAAATAGCATTGATTCCGAAACAGTGTAAGTCTTCGCATACCATTGCATGATCAACGGTATTCTTCTTGAACGTAATTGAGAAACTTTTTTTTCTTCAGAATTGTCGATGAACCAGCACGGAAATTAACGAACTCTTCACCACATCTTCAACCTTCAATAAATTTGCTAATTCATTCTCAGCTAACTGACTCGACATGCAATGGCGGAGGAGTCGATACAAAGAAGAAACGACAACGGCGTGTACATACAGTTAAAACTACTCCTTACGCAACGAGGCGACGAGAGAAAATAAAAGTCACAGAAACCATTAAAGAATAGCGACCAGTTCATTGGATCCAACATAGATTTTTTTCTAATTCATTTTTTTCGCAAGTCAACTTGTTTATTTACTGAAACATATTCAAGAAAATTCAAATAAATTTATGAACGACAACAGAGTTTATTCATTGAACAGATCAAGATAGATTACTAGACATTGGCTATCTACAAATAGCTTCTAACTGTCTGATGTTGAAGTGAAGTGCAGTATTTAATTCATAATTATGAAAACTGTGCAATAGCATTTCAAACGACCGTTTCAAGTATAGTCAAGAGCAAATTCTCCATGCTTTGTCAATTCGTATAAATACCATTTTTCGACATTGATACCGCTCAGCACTATGTCACACCGCTCAGCATCATGACACACCGCTAAGCAGGACGAAATCTCTCAATATTCATACCGCTCAGCACTCTGTCACACCGCTCAGGATCATGACACACCGCTAAGCAGGACGAAATCTCTCAATATTCATACCACTCGGCAGTATGTCATAGTGCTCAGCAAGTTGACGTTTTGAAATTCATACTGCTCAGCACTATGCAGCTAATAATTAATAACTAATTAAATACGTTTAATAATAAATTAGGGCCGAAAGTTTGGGCCGAAAAATCCTGGGGCCGAAATTCATGTAACTCTTTTGTAATGCGACAGTAGGTGGCGGAGCATACGGATTATCAGGTCCATGGGGACTGTATGTCGCGTCGAACAATACTCTGTATGTGACTGATTATGATACTGGTCGAGTGCAAGCGTATGCACCATCATCCCGCTCGGGAGTAACGATTGCAGAGTTGAGTGGACATGTTGAAGATATATTCATGGACAGTATGGGATGTATCTACGTAGCTGATATCACTCTCAGCAGTGTGTTTATTTCGCCGATGAATATCACGCTCCCAATAGCTATACAACGTCCATGCACTTCGTCTTCAATTTACGATCCGTACGGCATCGCTGTTGATCAGTATGGAAATATTTATATATCTGACTTCTATTGTAATGCTGTTACGAAATGGGCACCGAATACTACCGCAGGTGTAGTTGTCGCTGGACAACTGAACACAGCTGGTAGCACTAGTAGTTTGCTCAATGGTCCGAAGTTTATTGCTCTTGACGAAGTACATTCAGCACTCTATGTTGTTGACTACTACAATTATCGTGTACAGAAATTTCTGCTGGGAGTCAGCACAGTAGGTATTACAGTCGCCGGCGGCAACGGATATGGTATAGGCTTGAATCAGCTGAAGAATCCATCAGGAGTGTGTGTGTCATCGAAAGATCACTCGGTGTATGTGGGTGATCAAGGCAACCATCGAGTAATGAAATGGATGATAAATGCTACGCAAGGTTCGATCGTTGCTGGCGTGACAGGAGTAGCAGGCAGTACGTCATCACTTCTGAATACGCCAGGTGATTGTGCTTTTGATGCAGAACAGACGTTTCTTTATGTCGCTGACTATGGTAATCATCGAGTTCAACGATTCACTTTATAGTTATGGCCTTGAAGATACACTGATTTAGATGTAAGAGTTCGCACCATACATTCTGTTATGAGCTGCACTGATATGAATTCACAGCTTTTTGTATGGTAAAGAAAAGATGCACAATCTTGTAAATTATCTCATAATAAAAATATTCATCCATGACTATTTCACGATAGATATAAGCAGTAAAAATGAATATATTTGCACTATCATGCTCAAAATGCATAAATTGTGTTCAAGCATTTATTAGTCTGAATTAAAGAAAAAAAATGGAAGGAATACTTGTTTAAAAACGAAGGCCTTTCATAGCAGTCATAGCAAGAATGAATGCGGTGAAAATAGTGTATCGACTAAAGACGATTGAAGCACCTGAAACACAAATTGCCATGCTTTGTGACTGAGGACTACCGCAATCGGCTGGATATGTTTGCTTGCATTTTGTGTCACACGCATCATTTGCACACGATGGGATTGAAAGGGCTGGTTTTTCAACCATTTTGCATCCTGCACCAACACAGCACGAACAGGAACAGATTTCACCATCTGCGTTCGATACGCATAACACGCCAATGCATACCAAAATCAAAAGGACTGAATTCGCGAATTGCATTTGCTTGATATAAAGAAATAATCGTTGATTTAAGTGTATGTTGCTTAATGTGCTCACAAGTTTCAGTAAGTAGTTATATACAATGGTTTGCTGGAAGATAACAAAATTTACTTTTACGAAAAGCAAATACATATAAGAGAAAAATCTGCTACTTTTTCAGTTAAATACGTCATTTGTTAAGATATTTTTTATGCTACTTCAAATCTTAATAGTTTATTACATTGTTATCGCCACTTTCATGTTATTGCATTACGTTGTGCAATATGGTGAAGTTGCTAAGAAACTCTCTCTCTGTCTTTGCCAAGTTCCCATGTAAAAATAGAATTTTATAGATTCTAGTGTTTGTAAAATGGATAAGATAAAGTTGCTCAACTCGAAAACTTGTTGTGAAATAACAAAGAACTTAAAGTTGAGAAAGAAAGGCTATAGAGTATTAAACGTAGAACAATTTAAAAATCAGAATATGGTTTAATATTTGTTGCAGCTTGAATATTGATTTTTCTATCGGTGTATTGTACATAGCTCCACTCGCTATTCATTGTTGGAGTATCAATACTTAATCTTGAAAGGAAACAGTTATCCATATGTATATATGCATGCTCTGTATTGACTCGTTTGCATTATTTTTACACAAATTGGCGCTTATTTCGTTATAGAAAATTAATTATTGAAAGGGTACAAATTAAATGGTCAGTATTTTATTGTAAATGGTCAGTATTTTATTGTAAATGGTCAGTATTTTATTGTAAATGGTCAGTATTTCTGTGAATGGTCAGTTCGTTATTTTTAGTCAGTAAAAAATCGCTTTTGATCAGTATGAATTGATTTATGATCAGTAAAAGATTTAGTGCTAATCAGCCATTAAATTTGCTTGTTTTGCATAATAATTTTTAGTGATTTAACGATGTATTTGTCTAGTAAATGTACTACAAGGAAAGTTAAGTCCGATGTCTCTGAAAACTATAACTCCAGATTAGAATCTACTAAGGGTGTGGGTGTGGGTGTGGGTGTGGGTGTGGGTGTGGGTGAGATTGGCTGAGGTCTGGGCGTTAGTTTAATGATTGATTTGCAATAAATTTTCTACGGGTCATGGGTCAATTTGTACTGACCAAAAGCGATTTTTCTACTGACCAAGAATGAATTATTTACTGGTCAATTTATGGAACTGATCATTTACAATAAAATACTGACCAGTTAAATACGACCCTTATTGAAATGCTAGAAAATTTTCTGCATGATATTAATAAATATTGTTTTCTATAAAAGATTGAATATGTTGCGCATCAGAAACCTGTTCCATAGAATCATGATGAAAAGCGAAAAAGTAAGTCATATCTGAATTACCATTGGATTGTATAGCTCGCTCCTATTCAGAAAAATTACCTCAGAAAGTCCGTCAGTCACCAATATCTTCCCATCGACTAGATACTGCCCACACCACTGCTCTCAAGATTTATTTCAAAATTCGAAACAACATTCAAAGCGATATTCATAACTGTTCATTACAAGATGACCCTAAAACAACTCTAATTCCATTTGCTGCTGGATCAATAAAAATTATATCATCTTTTCCATCTTGATTCAAATCGAGAACATTGAATGAATGAACACATTCGTTACTCTCCGTTATATTGAAAACGAACGTTAAATAATTTTGGTTAAAAAGACTAATAGTACTTTCGGCAACAAATATACTCAACGTTCCGTTACAATGTAAAACTGCGACATCATCAATTGTATCATTATTGAAATTAATTCGAGCAATGGATGTTGGCTTATCTTCTGTTAAATAAATTTGGTGAATATACAGCCAAGGAAAAAGTGTTGTGTGAGCATCTAATACATTTGATTGCGGAGAAAGAATCATCAAATCATCGACTGTGTCATTATTAAATCTTCCAGCAATGACGATCGATGCATTTCCATACGCAATGTACGAGCTATCATGTGAGCAAGTCCATTCATCGTTGTAGTTCATTATATGAAAAGCAAATATGAAAGTGTTAACTCCACTTACGTATAAGTGAATATCGCCAGAATGGTGTAGATCAGCTATTAACATTAAATTGACATTATTTGTGTACCAGTTAGTATCTGAGCATATGTTATAATATTGATATCCATCGCCGTCGTTGAGATAAATACCCAAAGAATTTTTATCGGTCGAATTATCGGCATGATAAGTAATACATAAATCAAAAGATCCATCATTATTTAAGTCGCTAACTTCAATTGAAGTTGCGATTGTATCATTCATATCAATTGGTAAGACATAAGGTGGTAAAACAAATAAATCATTTGTTGATATGCCGAGGAAAAGAACGATTTCACTTGTTGCAGATAATATGACAACTGAAAAGAAAGATGAATGACTTTTCCTTTCCAAAGAAATTGTCGGAACAATATACCTAAATCTAGAATTGTATCATTATTAAAATCAGCCGCTTTGATTTCTTTCGGACGAGACTCATTTCCAGTTGAGAAAACAATTTGTCTTTGAAATGTTCCATTTTGGTTTCCTAACAGAATGCTCAAAGTATCCGAACCCAAATTAGTTACAGCTAAATCACTAAATGAATCCTGATTAAAATCTCCAACAGCCATTGATGATGGATTCAGACCAGTTGAATAAAATTTCGCTTGACTATTCAGAGTCATATGACAATAAGTATCTAACAATCAACAATTATTATTTAGAATCCTATTTCAATGTATACCTGGTGTTTTTGTCACGGATGCATTGTTATTTGTAACAGTTGATTGTGTACTTGTAGAAATCAACTTTTCTTGCTTATTGCCGTTTCTAATGACAAATATAAATATTAATGTCATTGTTCCAAGGATCAGAAGTATTGAGCCAATCGGAATTATTCGCTTGAAGTACTTTTTTCGGCTAAAATATGCAACAAATAGAAAATCCGTCTAAATTTAGTTCAAATTATACTGACGAAGTATGTTCGCGTATACCAGAAGTATCATTTAACTAAAAAAATGTATCAGATAAGTCTCCTCATTGAGATAACGACTGAACAATTACTTCACTCACGGATGTTGTTGTGATTGTATTCATATTTTCATTATTTATAGTCTCCTCTATTTGCTGCAGATTTGGTACAACACTGTTTTGTTTTCTACCATCAGTTAATTTGACTAAGATCACATTTGCATAGAATAAAAGAAAATGTAATCCATTCGTTAAGCCGCCAAAAACAGCAATTAATAGCGTGATTATATAAACTATATTATGTTGTAATGTGTACGAATATACACATGATTGTGGAGCACATTCTTGAAAATATAGATCGAATGACGCATTGTAAATCCATTTAGAAACAAAAAGTTGATTAAGTAATGTTTCAATTGTCGTATTAGGCGGTGTCAATGACGAATAAGAAAGCACATTGGTTTTGATCGGTTTCGAATAATCAATATAGGCTTGCATTTCACCCAAACAAAGTTTATCGTAGAGACAAACTAAACTTGAATGAAGAAGTGCATCGAAAAAGAAACAACCTATACGAAAACCTGGCAAACGTGGATTATCGGAAAGATCGTATATAAATAGAATAAGATAAGATAACACTGAACAATTTGAGTAAATTTGGCATGAACAACCAGTGTCGCTATATACTTTTGGCTCAGCTAATACATCCACCGTATGATTAAGCATGGGACGTAAATCTGAAACTGTATACTTTGGATAAAACTGCCAGCTAGATGAAAAGATATTTGCAAGTTGATTTCCGTGGTATGTCAATTGAATCAAATTGATTGTTTCGATAAATTGAATCGAGATTGTCTTTTTGAATTGTTCTAAAATCGCTTTTGTGCGAATAAGAAATTCATCAGACGAAATGACATTGGATGTGACAAAATCATTTTGTTGAAATAATGTCAATGATGTATTTACTGTCGAGCGAGATAATGTACATAATTTTGTCAATGATTGAAACTGTATAAAAAGAAAATAACGATAGTCAATCAAGAAGTGGAAAAAAGTGGATGCAAGTGCTCGCTTTCTTGAATCTATTTTCTTAAGCCATTCCGATGAAACAAAAATACTCGAACAAACATCGTGAAATTGTGGTTCGAGTTGAGAAATTAATTTGTTGTATTTGATTGATGTGCGACTACAAGGACATTTCAAAGTGAGAGGATATTCATCAGCTAATTGCTGGTATTTGGATACCGAAGGAGATTCGACAATGACTAGAATGGTCTCTTGTCGTAGCAAACCATAAAGAATTAGGATGACAAATGAGGAAAATAATAAAATGATATAAATTCGAGTTAAATGACGATTTCGTCGAAGAATCTTTGGATCTTTTGATGGTGGAATTGTAGAGAAAAGGTTTAATTCAAGAAAATTTTGTTTAGTTATCGAGGAGAAATGATGAAAGAATTCTTAATGAAAAGAATTATTTTAAATAAAAAGTCTTTTAACAAATTGGCGCTCACTTCTTCTTGTAGAAAACGTTTCTTTTCTATGAATAAATGAATTACGAATTTGTTTGACTATTCGAAATAGAAATGGAATTGAAATACGTAAAACAAGATTAATTCCTCCGACAAGTCCAATGATTGTTGTTATTATATAAATTAGACTTAATCGTGTTTCAATCGTATATTGACACATCAACGGATTACATTGATTATAATACGATCCGAAATAACTTTCATTAATCCATGATTGAATAAAAAGATTCTTTGCTAATGAATCGATTTGATCATATTGATTATTGGAAGATTTTAGTATTGAAATATTCTTTAGCACTGTACTAGTTGAATTGGTTATTCGTTTGATTTTCCCAAAGCATATTTCATCATACAAACACTCTAATGTAGACATTAAAATTGAATGAAGAGGAAACCATGATTGATACATTCCAGGTATAATGAATTGTGTCTCATTTTCATAGAGAAATATGTTTTGATAACACTCAATTGACGATGTTGAAAAACAATTTTCTTTTGTATAAATTACGTTCGACGACAATGAA